CTGGCTGACTCACACTGCAGCCAGGAACTGGTGTGCACGAGGACACCTCTGCCCTCTAGCCGTCACCCCCCTCAAAGGAGTTGTCTGGGCCTGGCTGCGCAGGAGGCCAAGGAAACTCAGAGTGTGGTTCTATGTTCAGGAAACGCGAGTATTTACAGTGCTTTATTTTTAAACCTTCCTTGTCCCACACTGGGGCCTCTGCAAGGCAGAGTGGGTGGAACTAACAGTGCAGCCCATGGTCTGGACTGTGGCCTCCCCAGGGCACCAATGTGCAGAAGCTGAAGCTCAGCGAGGAGCACCCATGGGCACCAGGCCCCTGTGGCTGGTTTGAGCCTGCTGGCCCCAGGGTCAAGGCTGAGGCAAGGGTGGAACTCTGCAGGGCAGTTGGAACCTACGCTTTCACCTGCCTGTGGTATTTGTCCAGGAATTAGTTTTGTTCTTACGTGGCCTCCTGGCATGTCTCCCCCAGGTAACGCCAGGCAACACCTCCCCCTCCCCAGCCTGCTCTGTGCCCATTTGGCAGTTTTAAAACTCAGGGATCAGAGAGGCCAAGATGCTGGCCCAAGGTCACACAGTAAGGAAGAGGCTCAAACCTGGGGTTGGATGACTCTAGAACATTCAGTCACTTCCCCCAGCCACTCCTCCACCCCTGTCTCCCAGGGCTGGCCCCCCGCCTTCCCTGGGCAGTCACTGCTCCCCAGGGGAGTGTTCTGTTCAAGAGTGGGGGCCCATGCGGAGGTTGTGGGAGGCTGGCAGCCGCTGGCCAAGACTCGGACTTGGCTGGCAGAGAAGTTTCCATCTTAGTGTCAGGAACTGGTCCAGGCCCTGGGGGCCCAGGACTGCACTCAGGACCCCCAGGGACAAGCCCTATGGCAGCGGCAGTGGCCCCGCACCCTCTGTGTCCTCTATCCCTCCAGCTGACCCCAACCAGAGCACTGGCCATCTCCGCACACTAAGCATTACCCCATCCCTCAGTGTGCCGGTGACCTAGCTTGCTGGGCCTCAGTTTCTCCATCTATGAAATGGCTTCCATGTTTGTTTTATGCCCAGCACAGGCCCTCAGTGATGGGTAGTGTCGCTCTCCAAAGGGCTCCTCAAAACTAGGCTTCAGAGCTCTTGATGTAACAGTCATCTTCACCCCGAGTTAGATGACGCTCCAAGTGGGGAGAAAGGGCTCAGCACACTGACAAGCTGGGCGTCCACACTCAGCCGGGGTCGGAGCAAGGGGCCCTGGGCCAGGGTGAGGCCTGTGAGGCTTGTGGGCGGCAGGAAGGAGCCAGCCGGTTCCATGCGAGGATGGGAAAAGCAGGGATTGTGGCTGTCCCCACAGGGGCCATTTACAGCCGCAGGTCACAGGTCAAGGGTCCCATCCCTGGAGGCTCTGTGTCAGCAAGGTGGGAAAGCCATCAGGGTGGCAGGAGGGAGCTGGGTGGGGGCTGGGCCCCGAGTTGTGCAGTCACCTGCAGGGCGGGGCTGGAATAAGGAGCCCCCTAGGTTCACAGAGGCACAGACCCTTCCCCACACAAGTCACACATGTGTACACAATGTCACACAGAAACATATAATAGACACACAAACACACCCCAAAGTCACTCATACTCAGCAATGACAGCTGCAAATATATATATATATATACCATCACACACACAGACTCACAAATGCAAAACCACAACCATGCATGCATAATCACACAAAGACACACACAAAAGCCACAAATGTGTACTGTCACACACATGCAATAGACATACCAAAGACACACATGCACATACACAAACGTGCTCATAGACACCCCCAGTCACTCGTATTCAGCAGTCACAGCTGTGAATGCATTTGCAGCATCCCCCTCCCCCCACACACTCATGCACACACACACACACACACACACACACACACACACACACACGGCAGCCCCAGCCACGGGGGCTCAGCGGCCCTGTGGCGCAGCCACCCCGGCACTGGCTCTTGGTCGCCTGCCTGCTCTGCTGTCTCACATCCTTGGCCCCAAGCTGCCCTAATCCTGGTCTCGTGTCCTGAAGCCAGAAGATAAGGGGCAGCTGCAGCCCCAGATAAAGAAGGCGCAGCCACAGAGCCGCGGGGGCCCGGCAGCAGTGGGCACCAAGCCCGGCCGCACCTGCCTCGCTGCTGCCAACCCCGCTCGGCCTGGCCAAGAGGAATGGGGAGGACTGGGGGCAACAGGGAGAGGGAGAGAGACAGAGGGATGCAGAGACACACACAGAAAAAGAGAAATGTGGAGAGCGAGACAAATGTGGAGGGAAAGAGAAATGCAGAAAAAGATAAGAAAAAGACAGAGGGACACAACAAAATGCAAAAAGAGAACAAAATATTGGGACAGAAAACAGGAAGAATAAAAGAGAGGGCTAGTGACTGAGCGAAGCACCGGCTGTCTTCCCCGGGCCCTGCCTCACCCTCACCTGGGTGCCTTAGTTTCCCCATCTGCCTCCCTTTTGCTTTAGAGAATGACTCAGGCCTGGTTCAGGGTGGGAGGACATCTTGCATAATGTCCCCACTCTCCAGGGTGACACCTGAAAAGGCCTCAGCCCCCTGTCAGAGCCTCAGTGAAGGTGGGTCACCCTGGAACAGGTCCTACCCCTTCTGTCTGCTTCCCCAGCCATGGTAAGATGTATTCACTCAAGACATGTTCACTGAGCACCCACTGTGTGCCAGGCCCTGTGCTGGGTGCTAGGGACACAGAGCGACCGAGGTATACCCTGCTCCTACCCTCTCTGGGCTCACAGTCCAGGTGAGGAAGACAGTTGTGTAGCCAGGAACCTTCCAGGATGATCAGAATGGTGATGGGGGACACACAGGCAGAGGCAGAGCCTGTGAGCGGCACTGGACCCACCCCAAGCAGAGGACTGTCCGAGAGGTTTCCAGAGGAAAAGGAGGTGAGAACTAAAGTGTGAGTGTAATGAGCAAGGGGACTGGGACCCAGGAATAGACTTCTTGGAAGAGGGAAGAGCACAGGCAAAGGCTAGGAAGACTGGCTCGTGGGAGGTCTGAAATGAACCTGGAGATTGAGTTTAGGGAATAAGGAGGCAGTAAAGGATGAAGCTGAGGAAGGCAGCAGAGGTGGGGTCATGCGGGAACCTGGGGACCATGGTCCAGGGCTGGGACGGTAGGGGGCCATGGAAGACTTGGGAGCAGGGGAGGGCCGTGGTCATATGTGTTTTAGAAAGAGCTGTGGGAAGCTGGGCTGTTGGGGACAGGAGAGGACATCGAGGCCTGGAAGGCTGGGTGACGGGAGAGCAGACTGACTGGAGAGAGACTCTGGAAGGAAAGTGGGCAGGAAACTGGGGGGGGAAGGGAGGAGGGGACGCTGATGTCCTAGTCTCTGGCTCAGGGCGGTGTGGGTGGCAGTCCCTGGGCAAGGGACCACTGCAGCCTGTGGATTCAGGTGGAGGGGGGATAAATGCCTTTTCCTTCCACACAAGGGGACATGAAAAGGGGACACAGTAACTGTCCAATAATAGTTTAGCTACTGGTAAAAACATTATACTGTTAATATAATCGATAACAAGCAGTTAATATTGTCATTAATATTAATACCCATGCTCATCAATGGCCGGTCCACAGCCCCCCTCCTACAGGAGGCCTTCCTGGCCCTACACATGGAGGCAGACCATGGCAGGGCAGAGCCAGAGAACCCTGGGGAAGCTTTCCTTGGAGGCTGAGGCCCAGAGACGGGTGGCCAGATTCCTGAGGTCGCCCACTGCGGGTCTCAGGGTCCCCACAGCCGTCCCAATTGTCTCTCCAGACTGGTCGTGAGTGCCTGTGGGAGGACAGGGGGAGACTACTGGTAGAACCTCAGACGGCAGTGGGACGGGCACCGCGGGAAGGAGAAGTGAGCTCCCGTCCCTGGAAGTGGGCAAGGGGGCCGGGCAAGAAGTCTCCCAGGGACTGCTTGGTTTCTTCCCGTTTTCGATCCCCCGATTCCATTGTTTTATTTCCAGGTTGTCCTACAGAGGGCAGCCGAGGCACGAGATGGAAGACGAACTTGCTCCCCGCCTACTCCCATTTCCCTCAGGGTCTTTGAAAAGACCTTTCCGAGCCCGTTGTGGCCTCGAGCAAACCCTTTCCCTCCTAGGTCCTCAGTTTCCCCATCTGTTACGCAAGGGTCACAGTCTCGTCTCTCCCCTGGGAAGAGCGTCACGTCTCTCCCCTGGGAAAGTTTTGTTGAGTTTAGAAGTGAAATGCAAGGGAACCGAAGAGATTGGTTGGTCCCGCACGGCGCTGTTCACGTAATTCAGGGCAAATAACAGTAATAAAATAATAAAAACAGTAGTCGTTAACGTTTATTGATTATTTATTAAATTCTTACCTCCTAAAAGAGATATTTTTATCAGCTCCATTTTTCTGCTGAGGAGGTGGAGGCACAGAGAAATTAAACAACAAAGTTCTCAGCTGGTTAAGTGCAAGGGCTGGGATGCGAACCTCCCAGGCTGAGTCCATAGCCGTGAGGTCTCTCCTGCATGAAGCCTATTTCAGAAACTGGGAGCTCTAGGTGGGGGCAAAACAGGGCTCAGTGGGAACTGTCACAAATCGTGACCAGATTTTGTCCTCCTTGGCTGACAGCCCTCCCACTTGCCTCGGGGTAAAAGTCCAAGCCCTCCCAGCAGCCCACAAAGCCCTGCACGACCCCTCCCTGCCCTCTCACGTCCTCTCTCTCTCTCCCCCCCTTCGCTCACTCTCTTCCGGCCACTCAGGGCTCGCTGTTTCTACCACACGCCAGGACTTGGTCCTACCTCAGAGCCTTTGCTAGGACTGTTCCCACCGCTTGGAACACTCTTCTAAAACACTGCAGCAGGAAAACAAAACATTTTTGTGGGCCGACTGCTGTCCGTGGGAGAACACTCCGCGAACCGCTCGAGGATCACAGAACACTTCCGACTCCCTCCCACAGAAGCAACAAAAGTAAACGGGAGTCGAGGCCCCACCCCCCCACAGGCTCCGCCTCCGTCACGACGACGTGCGTACAATGGCGTCACTGGGAGCGACCCAGGCATGTGCACTTCCCCAGCACGAACGGTGAGGGTACAGGCGCGACCCGGAAGGTCTTCTCGCTACACTCCAAAGCGGGCGTGAGGGGGGCCGATGGCGGAGGGTGCGGCGGAGGCCCCAGCAGAGAGTAGTGCCGGTGGCGACTTAGAAGCCGGAGCGCTGGAACGAGGAGTGGCGCCCATTAAACCTCAGTGAGTTGCCGGGACAGGGGGAAAACTTCACGGAGCCTTCCCGGCACCCGTAGGGCGCCTCGAGCGGTGCATGCCGGGAGATGGGGTAGCCCAGGGCGGGAAGCTCGCAGGCTTCTTCAGTTTGGGCTGTTCCTCTGCGGCGGTACCTGAGATAGCGCACGTCGGGGGCTGTCACAGACATTCAGGAAGCCTCGGGCCTGTTAGTGTGGGAGGGGTTTGAGGCGAGGGCCGCAATGCCAGCTGGGAACCGTAGTCCCAATGTCTGTCTGGAATAGCGCATGTGCACCTCCAGGAGCCGCAGTTACATAGGCTGGGACTTGTATCTGAACCGATTACCGGGGGACAGGCTGGGGCTTGTAGGGCAGAAAGGTGTGATGGTACATGTAGCTGTGGTCCCCGTTGTGAAGCATGTTGGGACATGCTGTTTATTTTAGCCTAACGTGGATGAGGGTATTCATGTCTGATGCCTGTAGTTTGGCTTACTTAACATTCCGGGCGGTGGGGACCCAAAAACAAAATAGGCCCTTCACGTGGCCCTGAGATGCGCCCAGGCTGCCAAGTGTCTGGTTCTAAGTAGTGAGGTCCCCATCAGCAGAAGCAAGTGTTCTCTGTCCCTTTTCCGGTGTTGATTGCGTGGAGCTCGGGGCGGGGGGGGAGGGTTCCCTTAACAAGCCTCCTTTTCCCTCTTTCTCTGCCAGCAGATTCCTCACCACCAAGGAGCAGTTCCATGAATTCCTGGAAGCCAGAAGGCAGGAGAAGCCCAGCCAGAAAACCGAGGAAGGAAACTCTTATGACTATGACTTGGCTGGGCCTGAGGCCAAGCGGATCCGACTGGAGGATGGACAGCAGGGAGAGAGCGTCACCGAGGCGCCGGCTGAGCTCGGGGAGCATCCTCAGGCTCAGAAGCGAGCCCGGGGCCAGAACAGAAACCGGCCTCATGTGAAACCCTCCCACTATGACAAGAACAGGCTCTGCCCCTCCCTGGTGCAGGTTAGTGACTTTGTCACCGGAAAGTCCCAGAAGCCCTCAGTCTGAGCCTCTCTGTCCCCTATTCAATCCTCATGATGTTGCGATGTAAATATTCATATTTTCAAGATGAAGAAACTGAGGCACAGTGAGGTTACTGACTCGCCCAAGGACCCACAGCCAGGAGGGGAGGTGTCTGATTCAAAGGCCAGCTGCTGTAGCCTCCCCATGTCCTCCCTCACTGCCTCCCTGTTTCCCTGCAGGAATCGGCTGCTAAGTGTTTTTTTGGCGATCGCTGTCGCTTCCTACACGACCTGAGCAGCTACCTGGAGACCAAGCCTGCTGACCTGGGCCCCCGCTGTGTCCTATTCGAGACTTATGGCAGGTGCCCCTATGGTGTGACCTGCCGTTTTGCCAGGGCCCACCTGGGGCCTGAGGGCCAGAACCTCGTGCAGGAGGAGGTGGTCCAGGCCCCTCCCGTCCGAAATGGCTTGGACAAGGCTCTGCAGCAGCAGCTGCGAAAGCGCAAGATCCACTTTGAGCGTGCCGAGCAGGCCCTGCGCCAGCTAGGCAAGGGCCACCTGCCAGGCCCTACCCCTTCTGCCACTGTCCCCACAGGGACAGTGAGTGCCCCAGAGCAGGACAGCTGTGACACCCAGCAGGCCCCCCTAGGGCCCGGCACCGGTACCCCTCCCTGCAGCCCCATCCAGACCTGCGGGCCCCTGACGGATGAGGACATAGTCAGGCTGCGGTCTTGTGAGAAGAGGCGGGTATGGGTCACAGGCTTCCTGTTGAGGACGCTAGCAGTGTGGGGAGCAAAAAGCTAGACAGACACTCCCAGTCCCATAGAGTTAGGGATGAGGCAGAGGGAGGCAGTGGGAAAGGCTTCCTGGGAGAGGGGGCATCAGGACTGGGGTTTTGATGGTTGACTAGAAGCTATCCAGGAGAGGACACGGAGAAAAGAACATTTCTGGTAGGCAGATTGGTTGACACACGTAGAAGTCAAGAGATAAAAGGGTGGTAGGCTAGTGGGGCAGAGCAAAGCATGGTTTAGATTGTGGGGAGAAGGGAGGCCTCAGAATCCAGGTTGGAGGGTAGAGCCTCACTGTGTTTTCTTTCCTTCTAGCTTGACATCAGTGGCAAACTGTATCTGGCCCCCCTCACCACGGTAGGACCCGGGTGGGGGGGCGGTGGCAGTGTGGTCACCCCACCAGTGCCCAGTGCTTGCCGGTTTTGGGTCATCCTGTTGAGGACACTCGCAGTGTCCGGGGTACCTCTTACTTGCCTGTGTTATCCGCTGTCCCCAGTGTGGGAACCTTCCCTTCCGGCGAATCTGTAAGCGTTTTGGGGCTGATGTGACATGCGGGGAGATGGCCGTCTGCACCAACCTGCTCCAGGGCCAGACGTCTGAGTGGGCCCTGCTCAAACGCCACCAGTGTGAGGACATCTTTGGTGTCCAGGTTGGTGCTACCCCAAACGAGGGAGGAAGAGAGGGAGGAGGCGGCTTTTGGCTGCCAAGGTTTGGTGCAAGGTTCAGGGTCGGCTCTCCTGGATCCCAGGCCTGGCTCAGTCACCTCCCAGATCCCTCTTGCCTCAGCCATGGGCCAGGCGTGCCAGCCTGCTGCAACTCCCAAGGGCTGATGACCTTAGTATGGGGCCAGACAGGGATGGTTCGAATGGGCCCCTCACCCCTTCTGCTCCACCACCTGCCACAGCTGGAGGGTGCTTTCCCTGACACTATGACCAAGTGTGCTGAGCTGCTGAACCGCACCATCGAGGTGGATTTCGTGGACATCAACGTTGGCTGCCCCATTGACCTAGTATACAAGAAGGTAGCAGCCATTCAGCCCTTGATCCCCAGAGTGGGCAGAGTGTGGATGGGGTGGAGGCCTGGGACCCAGCTTCATTCCTGCCTGAGTCACTAGGAACCTGTGTGGCTTCCTGTGCCTCAGTTTCCCCATTTGCACAGCAGGGGACGTCAGGCCCAATGTGGGTCCTGCCCTCCTTTGCTCCAGCCCCTTTTCTCTCCCAGGGTGGGGGCTGTGCCCTCATGAACCGCACTGCCAAGTTCCAGCAGATCGTTTGTGGCATGAACCAGGTATGCCTCAATATGTCCCCAGCTTTTCTCTACCGACCCTGGGCCCTGCTGACCACACCCATCCCCACAGGTGCTAGATGTGCCGCTGACGGTGAAGATCCGCACAGGTGTCCAGGAGCGGGTGAACTTGGCACACCGGCTGCTGCCCAAGTTGCGGGACTGGGGGGCAGCCCTGGTCACGGTGGGTCTCGGGCTACAGTGGGTGTCGGGGGCCTTCCAGCGACCCTTTCTAATGGTATCTCTCTTGTCCTCCTCCCTCTTCATCTCGACTCTCCCTCCATCTCTGTCTCTGTCTGTCTGTCTGTTTCAGCCTGGGTTTCTGGGCTCTCTCTCTTCTCTCTCTTTTTCTCTCTGGTACTCCGCCTCCCCGGACCTTTCCTCCCTCCCCATGTGGCCGCTTCTTCTCTAGCTCCACGGCCGCTCTCGGGAGCAACGCTACACCAAGCTGGCCGACTGGCAGTACATCAGGCAGTGTGTGACCGCAGCCAGCCCCATGCCCCTGTTCGGTGGGTTCCCTGCCACTCACACTTACATGCCCTGTCATCATAGGCCACAAACACACCTGGGCCCACCCCGACTTGAGGCCCCTCCCTGCCCCAACGGGGACCACTGGGTTGGCAAGAACTCCCAAGAGCTGGCTTTCCTGTCTGCACACAGCTCCATAAGGCCCTTGTCTGTCCCTCAGGAAATGGAGACATCTTATCGTATGAGGACGCCAGCCGTGCCATGCAGACTGGTGTCGCTGGAGTCATGATTGCCCGGTGAGTGTGCCCAGCGCCTGGGGGGTGTACAGAGAGCTTTCTGGAGCTGCCCTGTAGGCCTGGCCTGTATCTCGGTGAGGGTGAGGCTGTGTGTGAGTTTTGTCACTCTCGTCACAGTACTCCAGTCCAACTACTTCACTCTCTAGTTGCCTTTGTCCCAGCAGTTGTCTGTGTCTGTGCAGAGACATGGCGGGGCTGCAGCCGGCAGGGGCGGGAAGGTCTGGAAATTCTTGCAGCTGTGGGCTTGGGGCTGTGAGTCAGAACTCTTAGGGTTCCAGGGTTGTATGAGCACAGCTGGCGGGTCTGGGACTGCGGGTCTGGAGGCCTCTGACCACTCTCCACCCCACAGCGGTGCCCTGCTCAAGCCATGGCTGTTCACGGAGATCAAGGAGCAGCGACACTGGGACATTTCATCATCTGAGCGCCTGGACATCCTGCGGGACTTCACACACTATGGCCTGGAGCACTGGGGTTCAGACACGCAGGGCGTGGAGAAGACCCGCCGCTTCCTCCTCGAATGGCTCTCATTCCTGTGCAGGTGGACTTGGAGCAGCTAGGGTGGAGGTGTGGGTGGTGTGAGGCCAGCCTGGCCCAATGCTATCTCCACCTGCCTGCAGGTATGTGCCTGTGGGTCTGCTGGAGCGGCTCCCGCAGAGGATCAACGAGCGGCCCCCCTACTACCTGGGCCGCGACTACCTGGAGACGCTCATGGCCAGCCAGAAAGCAGCCGACTGGATCCACATTAGGTGCCTGGGAACCGAGGAGCTGGGGGTGGGGGGCATGCTGGGGAAGGGGGGCCCAGGCCCCAGGCCTGACCCTGCCTTCCACTTGCCCTCCTCACAGTGAGATGCTGCTGGGACCCGTGCCGCCCAATTTCGTCTTCGTGCCGAAACACAAGGCCAATGCCTACAAGTAGCTGCAAGGGTGGGAGGGGGCATTGGAGGGTTTCCTTAGTGTGTGAGAAGACAATAAACTTTATTCTTTTAAAACTCAGGCCTTTCTGTGATCCTGAGGCGGCCCCTTCCCTCTCCCAGGAGCTCTCCCTGGACACGTCCCTGTCCCTGGCAGCTCCCTTTCTCCTTCCTTACTCATTCATTAAAGTCTCCCGGCTGCCACCATGGGGCCAGCCCTGTGCTAGCCACTGCTGGTGCCCAGAGAGGCCTTTACTACAAAGAATCCGCTGGGGATTGTGGCGGGTAGGTAGAGGTCCTTGGCCTGTGGGGCTATGGATCAGGGCAGTCTGCCTGGAGGAAGTGGTCAGAGCTGTCAGGTGGGCGTTGCCAGTGAAAGCAGAAGGCAGCACACTAGGCCCAGGGTTTGTCCCTCACTCTGTGACACTTGTCTCTGGCTGCCTTGGTTTTCCCTTCTGTCCCTGTCCACCCACCCCTATCTCCAATACCCGGAATCCTGACCAGCGGGAGGCCCACAGGCTGGAACCCGCCGCCAGGAGTAACCAGGCAAACAGAACTCTGCATGACTTCCGAGCCTGTTCTCCAGGTGAGGCGCCTGTGCTCCCACCTGCCACCCTCCTGGCCTGCCCGGGCTGGGCCCCCAGCTCCCCATGCAGCACCCCAAACCCTTCTACACTACTGCAGCTCCCCAAGAAGGTTTCAGCCCCCAGGGCCTGGATGGCACCGAGGGGCAGGGCGGGCAGCCCACTCCTGCCTGCACAGAGCCTCTTCCCACTGTGGGTATGAGTCAGGCAGTGTGGGGCAGGGAGCACCTGACAGGGCGGGGGACCTGGGCTCTGCCCCCAGCTTCAGGACCCCACCTACCCGCGTGCCTTTGTTCACAGGTCCCTCCCACCTGTATCACCCCCCAGACCTGGAGAAAGAGGTGTTTCCGGCTCCTCCAGCAGGTACCAGGCTCCTCCCAACCCTCGATGAGGCCCCATGAGTGGGTTGGAGCGGGCAGGGTCATCTTGCCTGTCCCTCAACAGCTGCCCGAAGGCCAAGTGCCTGTCCCTGTTTCCCACAGGGTCCCCCAGGCCAAGGTCTGTGTGTCCCATCTAGACGAGACCCTGAAGACAAGGCCTGTGGCTTTTGTCCCCCAAAGGGTCCTCCAAACCCAGGCTTATGTCCATAGGCCCCCTGGGTTTGGGCCGTGCCCCCCCCCCCGCCGTCCCACACGGCCTCCCCCAGGTGGGCGGGCCCTCGCCCTGCCCCTCTCAGGGCTGCCCCTCCTGGGCCCGCAGGTTTCCAGATGGCGCCCTGCGGCTGCTTCTTTGACCCCCGAATTTATCGAATCGAGTGGGCCACCACTGACTTCGGCCAGTCGTCCCTGTACAAGCTGGCAGCAGCGGGTGGTGGGGTGCCGGCTGGGGGCCCTGCCTCATCGGGCACCTACCTCCTAGAGCCCCAGCACTTCCTCAAGGCCCCGGTACAGCCTCCGCCATACCCCCATTTCCAGCCCGTTCCCGAGGGCCCCCAGTACCTCATGCCCTACTACCCGCCTGAGGGGCCCGGGCCCGAGGCCCTGGGCTTTGTCGGGGAGGCGGGGGGGCCCGCCTTCCTGGAACTGCCCCCGCCCCTGCTCAAGGAAGGCCCGGTGCCCCTGCCACCACCAGTGCCCTCCAAGGAAAACAAGCTGCCCCCTCTTCTCATCACACTGCCCGCTGAGGCTGCTCTGCCCCCTGGGGCCTATGGCCACCTCAAGGGTCGTCTGAGCCAGCTACACAGGCCCGGGGAGCCCTTAGCCTTGTCTGCCGAGGAGCTGCAGGGCGATGGCACCAGACCAGGCCAGCTGTACCCACCAGGCCCTGGGGACCCCAAGGTGGCCGAAGCAGAGGCAGCCCCACTGGGGGCGGGCGAGACTAGGTCCCCCGAGGCTGCCAGGGCCTTTGTGCTGCCTGAGAAGGTGCTGCTGGAAGACGCCATGAAGCTCTTCGACTGCCTGCCAGGGGGCACGGAGCCTGAGAGGTCCCTGCGCAAGGCCCCTGGGCCAACCCTTCCTGACAGCGGAGGCGGTGGGGACGATTCCTCCAGCGACATCCGCTCGCTGCATCTCCCGGATGAGTTGCTGTCCTTCGACTACAGTGTGCCCGAGATCCTGGACACCGTGTCCAATGTGGACTGCTTTTTCAACTTCAAGGCGCTTGACGAGGAGCCGCCGCTCTGCTCAGGGTCCCCTGCCATCCCCACTGCAGCCCCTGCACTTCGGGCCGAGCCCCCCAGCAAGAGAAAGTCTGGTGCCTCAGCCACCAAAAAGGGGAGGCAAGGAGGCAAGGGTAAGCAGGCCATGGGCCTGTCCAGCGCCCCCTCCCCAGCACCCAGGCAGGACCTGGGGGCCACCCCTCATTAAAGCAGATTTAACCCTTCAGCCCGGCGTCTGCTCAGTGGCAGTGTGGTGTGGTAGGCCAGGGGCAGACATGAGGGGCTGCCTCTCAACCGCTACGTGGTCCAGTGGACCCTGAACCATGTTGGGTGGCCCCGCAGGAGCCCAGTGTCTCCTGGGTGCCAGGCGTCCAAAATGAGCTGAGGAGTCCTGGACTCGGGAGGACTCTCAAACCTCTGTGTCCTGGCCCTGGAAAACTAAGAGTCAGCTGACAGGGAAGGGGAGATTTGGGGAGCGGAGAAGACACCACCCAGAGTCCCTCTGTAAGATTCTCCACCTCCATGTTTGGTGGGGAAAGCCAAGGCTACCCAAGGAAAGGCAGGAGTTTACCTGCAGGGTGGACCACGGGAGTGGCCCCCAGGTCCCCCGCTTCTGTCCCCCTGAAGCCGTAACTGGTGGTGGTAGGGGGAGACCTTTGAGGGGTTTGCAGCCAGGCTCTGCCTTAGCCCACCTGCCAGGGGTGGGTGGGAGACATGGGGGGCGGGGCACATGGTGCATGGAGAGGACCCCATGCTGGTTCAGGCGGACAGGGGCAGGTGCTGGATGGAGATGATGGCAGCTGGTGGTCTGGGCAAGGAGGTGGGAGGCAGTGACCACTTGGCGTACAGGTGACCCGGAACGGACCCACTCATGATCGGGACGACAATAGTGCACCTGAAACCCTGGTGACAGCCAGAGACCATGGTGGGTAGCTCTGTCCCAGGAAGGGCGTTCGGCCAGGCCCCGAACACCAGGTCCCCGCATTGGGCCCAACGCGTGGGTTCTGCATCCCAAGTGGCAGGTGTAGGAGAGCCAGGTGCTTGGGCCTCCGTGTGTGCGCGTGCATGCGCATGTGTTAAGGTTTATAAGCACAGATATGAAACCATCTGTCTTGTGCAGACTCCCCCCCACTTTACTCCGGGCCTTAACATTCCTGAACAGGATACATTGCTGCCTCGCCCTTTTGTATGGCCCACCTGTCACTCCAGTGTGTGCCTGTGCTGGTCTGTTTCACCCACTCTTTTTTTTTCTATCCTCACCTGAGGATGTTTTTTCATTACTTTTAGAGAGAGAGGAAGGGTAGGGGGAGAAAGAGAGAAAGAAATAATCGATGTGAGAAAGAAATACCAACTGATTCCCTTATCATATGCGCCCCAACTAGGGATCAAACCTGCAACCTGGGTATGTGCCCTGGCCAGGAATCGAACGTGCAACCTTTTGGTCTATGGGACAGCGTTCCAACCAGCTGAGCCACCTGGCCAGGGCTCATCCACTCCAATGGATTAGTGCATGGGCCACCCGCCTTCTGACTGTTAACAGCCAATGGAGATGCTGTCTTTCAGAGGAGCTCTGACACCAGCATGTCAGGAGAGGCAGAGTGGTGAAGGCAGGTGTCCCAAAAAGGCCACCCACAATTAATGCTCATGCCGCCTGCTTGTTTTACATACACTTTATTTCAACAACTCAGCCTCTTCGGTGCACGCTCAGCGCCTTAATCGGAAACATGCACAAGACGTTCTACATCTTCTGCACAGACTGACCCAGAAGCCTTTGAGCCTGTGACCCTGCTCCGTGTGTAGTAGTTTGGGCGTTATGTAGGCCAGCCACACGGAGAACAGGATGGTCAGGAGGAGCAGGACGATGGTGATCTCTTTTGGGATGGTGGACAGTGGGAAGGCCCCGTACACGTAGACGCTGAAGGTGGTCTTCAGGTGACAGTAGCTGCAAGGGGTGAGTGGGGACAGGCCATGGGGGCACCACCTTCACCCAGCAAACGTTAAAACTGAGATCAGGGCCCCAGGTTGGTGACCCAGGACACGCCAAATTCAATTTGTATCTACTTCAACTTTTATCCACTCTGAGTCTGCCTTCCTCCTGTATATTTTGGCAGCAGTTATATCCCCCCCCAAGGACCCCTAGAGTCCCCTCCTCTGGGGACAAGAGGTGCCCCCTCTTTGTCCAGGTTCCATCACAGCCTGGAAGCAGAGGGAAGACAAGAGAGCAGCGACAGTCACCCACGAGGCTGGTGGCCAGCAGGAATGTCGCAGAGAGAGGAAGGGTGTCCCAGAGGGTGTGGGAGAACTCACTGAGGGCTCTGCTGGACCCTGGGAAGAGGAAGAGGAAGTGACAATTCCTAAGGTAGTCCCTGCTCTCCTCTGGATCCCAACTCTCAGTGCCTTCCTCCCAGGGTCATCTCGGAGCCAGTCCCTCTGGTCCAGGGTCTGGGGCCTCTAGGGAAGACAGGGTCTCCATGTGTTTTGGGGGGTGGAGTTTGTACCTGTCTTGAGGGGATAGATGAGGGGGGAGAGCATGGCCCCCTCATAATCCCTCTCCCAGCGGGAGATGCTGATGACCTAGGAGAGCATGCTGGACGTGACTTAGGAGCTTCTTAGCCCTCGTGGGTGGTAAGTATTTAACAGCCAGTTCGGGGATGGGGGTGGGGGTGAGGGAGATCTAGTAGCGTATGCTGATATCCTTGCTGTTAATACTCCCGCCATAGCGGATTTCAAGTCAGCTGGCTTGCAGAATCCCTGAATGTTTCCAAGTCAACCCCTTCACAGTAGCAGACATGGCAGGAGAGGGTGACTTGGCCCCGGGGGCAGGCCCATGGCTGCTGGTCACCGCTGCCCCCCCAGCACCCAGCAAGGGCTCTAAAGAGGATTTACTTAGTGAGCAAACAGATGTCATCTATGACTTAAAATCTCTCTTCCCAGGGACTATCTGGGCTATTGGGTGAATCCTGGTTTATGGAAGAACTGCCAAGGTGAGGGGGGAAGGTGGGTCCCCCACACACGTGCAACGTGCTCCAGGAGAACCAGCCATTCCCAGGGACCTGGACACAGGGTGACGCCCCTCACGCCACTCACCTGTAGTACGGATCCACGACAGAGATGAGGAAGACATAGATTCCATTCCTTTGGTTGAAAATGACCTTGTTTGCGGTTCTGCCTCCCAAGATCTGATATGGGACCTCTGGCCAATTCAGCGGAGCATCACTGTTGGATTCGTGGCAGCTCACATAGTTCTGGGGAGGACAGGGGGTTGCCCACTGGCCTGGTGGCTGGGGAAAGCCATGCCAGTGCCCACACGCCCTCCACCGTGAGTACAGACGCATCTGCTCACCAAACACCCATGGTTCAGGTCAGGGCCCTGTGCTCGCTGGGTGAGCCGGTTCCTGATCCCCGTGGAGGAGGCTGTGGACAGGGCTCAGCCTTCACCCCTCCCTCCTCCTTCCCAGGGCTCGTGCAATATTGTAAATGCACGAGACACAGACATGAGTTGTACACTTTAAAGCGGTTAATTGTGTTATGTGAATTTCACATTCGTTAAAAAAGAAAACAAGTAAAACCACCGTCGTCAACAAAATAGATGGGCAAACTCACGCGACAGAAGGGGGTGTTAAAAAAAAAGGAGCCAAGAACCTGCAGGCAGGAACGGGCTCGTGTGCGGGGCGAGCGTCACCTGTTGGTAGCATTGCAGCATTGCACCGTGTTCATGCCTTCGGAGTTGAGGGGCTCAGTGGATGGAAACTATTCATGTGCATCAGAGGCTCCCAGGAGCACTAATGCAATTTCTTCCTTCTACTGACATCATGCCCTTATGTGTCGGTCAGGCACAAATCAATGCTCACAATAGGAATGCTTGCTCGGCGGAACAGATGGTGAATTTAATCAGTCCCTTCGTGATGGGCATTTGGATGGTTCTGGAAAATTATCAGCAGGGCCCACAGCTCCGAACATTTGGCCAATGCCCTTGGGAGAGGTTCCCAAATAATTTACACACCTTGCATGCCCAAATGCAGCCCCAGAACCGCAGTGTCAGTGCGCTCCCATCCCCTGACACCGCTGCGGGGGAGTGATGTTGGTGTCCCCCCAGATTCATATGTTGGAACCTAACCTTCAAGGTATTAGGATGTGGTGACTTTAAGGAGTGATTAGATTATAAAGATGTGCCCTTATAAAAGGGGCTTGAGAGTGCTCCCTCACCCCGTCGGCCATGCGAGGACACAACAGGAAGACAACCATTTATGAACCAGGGGCGGACCCTCACCAGACCCCAGATCAGCCAATGCCTTGATCTTGAACTTCAAGATTCCAGGATTGTGAGGAGAAAATGTCTGCCGTTTACATGCCCTCGGCCTCTGGTATTCTGTGACAGCCAGCCAGACCGGACTGAGATAACCCCCAACTGGGTGCAGTCTGTTGTCACCATCTGACTGGTGACCTGTTTGGGGAATAATTGAGGAGTAACTACTACCTCCCGGTCCCAGGTGAAGGGCCACTTGTTGCTGGTTTTCTCCATGATGGTGGTCCAGTTCTGCGGCTGGGACCTGCAGAGCGCGGCGGCAGCCGTCAGGGAGTAGGTGTATGTGAACAGCCCGTTCACCTCCAGCAAGACGTACTCCGCCTCCACGACCTCCTGGAACTTCTCTTCCCGCCACCTGGGACACACGCACAAGGGGTGGCGGTGGGAGGCCGGCCCGGAGAGGCAGGGCGGCCGATGCGCGAGGGCCATCCTGGGGCTGGTACGGGCAGAGGAGCGGAGGGGAGCCCCTACCCCCAGCTGACACCTCGCGGGTGGTCGACACGTGGACACACAGTGGTGGCAGATGGGGACGGAGCAGGAGGGAGAGGTGGAGTGGCGCTGAATATTTCCCATGGGGTGGACACCAAGGGCATCTCTGAGAAGGGAACACATAGGCAGAGACGGGAAGAAACTGCCGCGGTGTCATAGAACCAAATAACGTCACTCATAAAGAAACTGAAGGGCCAGGCTGGGAGCTGGGAGCAGGGAACATGGCCTGGCTGCCACCTCAGCAGCCCCACGGGGAGCTTACAGTTCCACCACAGGCTTCCACGGGGTGTCGTAGTAGAGAAGGAGGGGACAGCCCAACTCTTCATAAGGGTAGTGCACCCGCAGGTCCTCGCTGGCCATTTGCCCCTGGAAGTTGGGGTCGTAGGCTTCCCTAAGCAGAGAGGGGGCAGAGGGTGAGGTCGCACCAGGCGGCCCCGGTGTTCCCCCGACCCAGCACCTCCCGGGCTCAGCTGCTTCCAGGGGAGGGGTTCTGCAGTGGGGGGTTCAGAGCTATGGTCAAAATGACCTGGGACCCCCGTGACGGCTCACTTTATGGGGCCACGTGGCTGTGCCATGGTACCTGGATGTGTGGGAAGACACTATTCTGGATGTTTCCGTGAGGGTGTTTTCGGTGATGAAATTGGCATTTAAATCAGTGGACTTTGAGTGAAGTCAGGTGCCCTCCCTGTTGCAGTTGAAGGCCTTAATGGAGAATATGTAAGGCCTCGCTTCCGCTCTCTGTCACTGTTCTTCTCCTTCTGTCTCTCTCACCCTGTTTCTGTCTCTGTCCCTGTCTCTGTCTCGTTCTCTTGCTGTTTCTCCCTGTGTTTGTCCCTCTGTCCCTCTGTTGCTCTCTCTTTCTCTCTTTGTCTCATCTCTCACTGTCTCTGTCCTCCTGTCTCCTTCTCTCTCTCACACCTCCTGTCACTTTCCTTTCCATGGAGACCCCCGACTCACACGCTCCTTTGTGCCCCCATGAGGTCTGCCTGCAGCCACACCGGTCAGCAAGCCCAACAGCACCGGTTTCGGCCTCGGCTGCGGTCCTGGGCAGCTGGCTGACTTTTGGCTTATATCCAAGTGGCCATGTCTTCCCGCCGTGGGTCAGGGAAAGGACACGCACCAGCATGGGAGGGGCTCCCTGCACTTGGTGCTAAGAAGGGCCGATCCCCATCCCATGCCCACTTGGTGGCACGAGGGACCAGAGCAAAGAGGTTCACCTTGGCTCACCACCCGCCCCCGCCCCGGCCTGGGCTCATAGTTTCTGGCCAACTCCACTAGCCCAGAGGAGCAGGTGGCTGGGCTCCCCGAGCCAGGAGCAGGCTGGGGCGGGGCGGTAAGAGGGGGGTGGTCCCAGGAGGGAGGGCTGAAGGAAAGATCTCTGGCTCACTTCTCAATGACGTAGGAGTAATTGTCCTGAAGGGCCACTGGGTCGAGGACACCTTTGTAACAGGCTGAGATTTTGCTGCAAGCAACAAAAGGCTGTGAGAAGCGGCTGACCCCACACAGAAATGAAGCAACATGAACTCTTCCCTTTGATATACATGTCCCACTGGTGTGATGTTTGAGTCCTTTCTTACTTTTTCGATCTCCGTGATGCTCTGGGCTTATCTTGCATCTTCTCTGCTTAGCCTAGAGTTAGTCATTCCTCCAAGGAGCCCTAATGCCTCATGTTAGAAGCCAAGATCACGGTGCTGGGCATCCTGACTTTGGAAGCTATCGATTCTTTGTTTTTCTACGTACTCTGCCACCTGGGCACGCATCATCAAGGTACATGTGCGTTTTTGCCTGATGTTGGCTTCTTAGGACTAGACTTATGCTATGTGTGTTCTCTTGTCTTTCATTCCACCTTCACATATGTACGACCTGTCTGGCTAATTCTGCCTCATTCATTTTCATTGTTACGTTAATCCATTTTTATCAAAGCACCATACCGGTCTGCCTACTATCCTCCAGTCAATGGACATTTCCGTTGGTGTACTTCCAGCTTGGGGCTGTTAAGAATAACATTGCACAGGACATTCTGGAGCCTATGCCAGTGCAAGTGTGTGTGAGTGGAAGTGCCAGATTGACAGATGTGCTTTCCAAAGCATCTGGAACTTGTGTACGCTCACCAGCAGTGCCTGTGAGTCCCGGAAGCTGCTGGGGGTCCCCATCGTTCCCAGGACTTGCCACTGGCCAGGCTTAGTTAGCTCCACCACGCTGGCCGGTGAGTAAGGGTCTTTCATACAAGCTTTCCTTTTCATTTCCCTGTTAGGCGAGGTTGACCACTTTTTCAGCATCTTGTCACATGTTTATCAGCCTTTTCTTCTTTTTTTGGAAGCGCCTCTTCAAGCCCTTTGTCCATTTTGGTCTGTTCATGTCTCTCTCTTTTTAAAATTGATTTGTAGGAATTCTTTGTAAGTCCTGGATACAAGTCCTTTGTTGGTTACATATGTGGCAAATAACTTCTCACTTTTTATGGCAAAAGCCTTTTAAGTATTGTTTTAGCAAACTTTCCTGCACATATGTTTTAAATATGCAGTTTATTGGTTCAGTAAAGTGTTTCCATTTGGGGGGAAAGTCCGGTCACATCACCACCCAAGTGTGTGACCGCCTGGTGCAGGGAGCATCGCAGGCCTGCCGGTCCCGGAGCCAACTGCGAAGCTGCAGAAATTGGAGCTGAGTGGATGGCTCACTGGCGGGAGTATTTACACCACGGGGTTTGGCAATGATGCAAATTACGCCTCCCTCTCCACCCAGACCCTGCCTGAAGGGCAAAAGAGTGGTAATTTGGTCTATTTTCATGCTTTTTTTCCCTCTAGATTCTCATGGCTTCATTCTTTGGGGGTAACGGATACTGGAGGCAGAGTTCTCAAATATTTTAGCAAGCAATTAAAACCAAAAATCCTGAATAATTTTAATCAAAATTAAGAATTAAGGGATTAAAAGCAAACAATAGAATGAGCACAATGATTAGGGAAGATTAGAGAGGAATGAACATTGCTAAATTGGTGAAGGAGGGGTCACCACCATGCCAGAAACTCAAACTTGACCTAATAGGACAAATTATTGACCCGTTTATTATGGAAACAGTAAACAGACACAAAAGCACACAGGGTAGCATCACCCAACTTCAGCCATCGTGAAGCAATGGGGACCAATCTCACCCCATCCCTATGCCCCCTTCACCTTCCCCCCGCCCCCGCCCCATATCAACAACACACTTACTTCTGAATGACAATCTTTTTCGTCAGGTCACAACCAATTGAAATGAGCGCCGTCTGTAGAGAAAGAGAGAGAAGATGCTGACCAGGTCGGCGAGGGCCGGCAGAGCCCGGCCACGGTGAGGATCCAGTTGGGGACACGCTCGCACCCAGGAGGGACTGCAAATGGTGCACCTGGATCCCCACGAGGTGACCCAGGCACCTGGGACTCACTGTGACTGCGACTGTGACTGGTCCCACGGGCCTCAGGCCCTAAGAACCTGCCCAAGCACTGGGACACAGCCGAGGCCGCCCGCCTCCATTCCACCTCTCAGCATTTTCACACAGAACAGAACCCAACCGATAAACCCAGCACAGCGCTGGCATACAGAGAGCTAGGGAAGGAGGGGAGGCGGGACCGAAGGAAGGAGGGGCGGCGGGCTACAGTGACCAAACTGGAAGGAGAAAAGAGAAAGAGTGATTAGCCTGACGGCCTTGAGAAGGGACATGCTTCTCAAACTGGGGTGTGGTGGTAACCTCAGAGATACACAAGGGCGTCTAAAACCACGGGACAAGGAGAATTTGTTGTTTGAAAAAGCAGCTTTATATTAAGACAAACATGAATTGACCATAGAACAGAATGCAAGATTTGTATCAATTTTTTAAAAATCGTGGTAAATAGATATAACATAAAATTTGCCATCTTACCATTGTAAAGTATATACAGCTCAGTGGCATGAAGCACATTCTCAACGTTGGGCAGCCGTCCCCACCGTCCGTCTCCAGAACGTTCTCATCTCCCCGAACCGAGACGCTGTTCCCCTTAAACTCCCCACCCCTCCCCCAGCCCTGGCTCCCACCGTCTACTTTCTGTCTATGGATCTGACTCCTCTAGGGGTCTCCTATGTGATTGGCTTATTTTGGCTTATTTCACAGAGCACAGCGTCCTAAGGGTTCATGTACGGTGTAACATGTCCACAGGGATTTTTCAAAGCAGCCAGGAACCTTCAAAGAAAAGTCCTGCTTTCGGACGGCTCCCACCCTCTGAACCCTCTCCGGGATGGCCCCTCACTTCTTCTGCCCTCTTGCTTTGCTGGCACAGCCGGGAACTGCTGACTTGGAGGATTCAGACCAAAGCCAAGGATGCGTCCTCCTTCTGCAGCAGGCAGTTAGAGAGGCGTGAGCAGAGCAGGGACGAGGGGCCTGGTGCAGAGGGTCAGCGGGGTCAGAGCCCCGGCTGCCTGGCAACGAGCAAAACCACAAGCTCTCGCCCTACCACTCCTGTGAGCAGTGGCCCTTGGAGGTGACATCTAGGCCTCAGCTGTGTTTCAGCTCCAGGCCCAGAAACGCAGAGAAACCAGGCCAAGCAAGGCCACCGCTGACATCGGGACAAGCTGTGAATCCACAACGCTGAGGAGACCCTCTGAGAAAGCTGATCATTATTCTATTGAGACCCTCCCCTGAGACCTCAGATAAAAACCCTCAGGAGGAGGACCCTGCCCCACTCCACGGTGCGCGCCCACACCTTTCCCCACCCCCTTCCTTCCCCAGGGCGTGGTCTCTCTCTGTCTCTGCCTCTCTGTCTGTCTCTCTCTCTCCCCCCACCCCCCCAAGCTTCAAGAGCCCTTCCTTTGCCTCCGTCACTTGTCTCCTGAGCCCATTTCTTCTATGGCTCGCTTCTTCTACCTCTGTAACTTTCTAAATAAATGTTCTCTTATAATTTGAGTCTTGACTCTGAATTGTTCTCTTAGCCAGAACTCCAGAACTGAGGTTAGCGACTCGTGCCGTTTACCTGCCGCTAGCGCCTCTGCTCCCAGAGAAGGGAAGTGAGACATCATGGGTGGGATGGAGGGTGGAGCCCGGGGAGCCGGCTGGCACCAATGTGCTGCCAAAAGGCAAGGGGACGCCTACCTCTGCTGACCGTGCATGACCGACTGGGACCGGGCCTGATACACCGGTTTCGGTGAGGGCGAGTCCTGAGTGACGGGGGATGATAACAGAGGAGGGGCAGCGACTCTGCGGTGGGGGGAGGGTCACCTGTATTTCCACATCCTGAAGTCGGCGGGGGGTGGGGGAGGGTTGGCCAGCCCCTTAGGGAAAAGTCAACCAGGCCTGCTGCCATTATTCTCAGCACTGATGACAAAGAACACGGGATAGCAAAAGTTGAGGACATACCAGTGGCTTGAGGTCCACACATGAAATTTCCTTGTTGGCTATGTCCAGAGTGACGGTGGAGATTGTGGGTCTCTTTATGCTGTGAGGCAACGGGAGTGTTTGTTATTGAGCTCTGGTGTCCAGAAGGGATAATCGCCAACTCACTCATCCTTTCGTCTATCTATCTATCATACGTCCACTCAAACATCCATCCATCCATCCATCCATCCATCCATCCATCTATCCATCCATTCTGGAATGCTGGAATATTGACTGAGAACCTCTACTCACACATGGCGGTCCCACCTTCCCTTGAGTTTCTACCTCTTCTTGAATCAGTTTATTTATTTATTATTTTATTGTATTTTCTCTGTTACCATTTATGCCCCCTATACCCTCTTCCACCTTCACCTAACCCCATTCCCTCCTCTCAGTCTCAATCACTATATTATTGTTCTAATCCATGAGTCCTTTTTTTTTTTTAAGATTTTATTTATTTATTTTTAGAGGGAAGGAAAGGAGAAAGAGAGGGACAGAAACATAGATGTGTTAGGGATACACTGATGGGTTACCTCACACACCCCCGCTGGGGATCCAGCCCGCAACCCAGGCATGTGCCCTGACTGGGAATCAAACTGGAGACCCTTGGGTTTGCAGACCAGCATTCAATCCACTGAGCCACATGAGCCAGGGCCAGCCCAGGAGTTCTTTCTCTCTCTCTCTCTCTCTTTTTTTTTTTTCTTGCTTGATCCCTCCGCCTCTCCACCCCCACCCCAGAGCTGTCAGCCTGCTCTCTATCTATGAGTCTGCCTTCTTAAATCAGGTTGGTTAATTTATGTATAATAAGTTATTGAGTCCTGGCTGGTGTGGCTCAGTGGACTGAGTGCTGGCCTGAGAACCAAAGGTCACCATTTCTATTCCTAGTCGGAGCACGTGCCTGGGTTGCTGGCCAAGTCCCCAGTAGGCAGTATGTGAATAACAACTACACATTAATGGTTCTCTCCCTCTCTTTTTTCCTCCCTTCTCCTTTCTAAAAATAAATAAGTAAAATAAAATACAATAAAAAGTTATTGAAAAGAATACCTGCCATTCAATTTCTTTTATCACATAGCTGCATATAATGTTTTCTCATCATTTTTAATAGCTTCTGTATTCATACTTTTTATCTTTCTTTTCTATTCTTATTGTTCATCTTAATTCTGTCTTTTCTCCATCAGGATTGCAGGGTTTATTTATTATACCAGTCTTACGAAGAATCAGCTTTATGTTTCACTTTGGCTTTATATTATCTTTTTGCCCTCTACTTAATACATTTCAGATTGTGTCATTGTTGATCGCCTTCTCATAATTTGTTTTTTTTTTTTTTTTGCTACCCTGGTTCCCTAAGTTAAATATTTAGTCCATTTATCTTTAGTCCATATCTTTTCCTAATGATAAAAGTGCTTGGGGGTATAAAATTTTCTTTGAGTATATTTTAGCTGTATTTCATGAATTCTTTGATTCATGAGTTATTTGTACAGGTGCTTCTCAATTTCCAAGTAAAGGGGATTTTGGTAGTGCTGTTGATTTTTTATTTTTTTAGTTGTTGAGTTCTAGTTCTGTTGGATTAAGGTCTGAAGGTGTGATCTCAAATTTTCTAGGGGGAGAACTGATTTTTTATAGCCAAGTACATAAATAATTAAGTGGCTTTTAAATAAATTGATAATAAATAAATAAACCATAAACACAAGAGAGAGGAACATAATCCTATATTAATAGCACACACAATTCTTTTTTTTAACTTTATATTTTTTCAGCTTTATTGAGGTATTGAGCAATAAAATGGTAAGATATTTAAAGTGTAAAATGTGATGATTTGTTTGATATATGCACACAATGTGAAAGTTAATTGGGGGGAGGGACGCATTGTAAAGTATAAGATTGTCTAACCTCTATGCTGAACACCTACAATGAATACTAAATAATAGTGAATATAAACTGTAATTGAAAAATAACATTTAAAAAATCAAAGAAAAAGAAAGGTAATACATCTATCACCTCACACATTATTATTTTACTATTATTTATTATTAATATTATGTGAGAACATTTACTTACCCTCTTTTGGCAAATTTCAATTGTATAATATAGTGTTACAAGGTTCTACATATAGAATTGAAACATGCTTGTTGAAACATATACTCTAGGGACATTCTGCAAGTGGGATCACAACATATTTGTCCTTCTGTGTCTGGCTTCTCTCACTGAGCATAATGTCAAGGTTCCTTCACATTATAGCAGGGTCAGAATTTCCTTCCTTTTTTAAAAATAAATGTTTTATTTATTTATTTTTAATCCTCAGTGGAGGACATGTTTTCATTGCTTTTAGAGGGGGTGGGGGAGGAAGAAACATTGATGTGAGAGAGAAACTTTGATTGGTTGCCTCCCATACATGCACCCTCGGGGGCCAAAACTGCAACCCAGGCAAATGCCCTGCCTGGGAATGGGACCTGCACCTTTTGGTGCACAGGATGACGCTCCAACCGACTGAGCCCCCTTGGCCAGGACACCTTCCTTTTTAAGGCGGAATAATATTCTGTTGTGTAAAAGAACCACATTCTGTTTATCTGTTCACCCATTGATGGACATTTAGATTGTTTCTACCTCTTGGCCACTGTGAACAATGCTGCTGTGCATGTGGGGGTGCAGACATCTCTTTGGAACCCTGTTTTCATTTGTTTGGGTATGTACCTAGAGTGGGGTTGCTGGATTATGTGGTAATTCTATTTAATTTTTGTGGAACCACCTTTTGTAAGGTGTTTTAGTAATTCCTTTTAAAATTGAATTTATTGGGGTGACATTGGTTACTAAAATTACATAGGTTTCAGGTGTACATGTCTATAATACATCACCTGTATATTGTGTTGTGTGTTCACCACCCTAAAGTCTGGTCTCCTTCTATCATCATTTCTCCTATTTTTTAAAGATTTTATTTATTTATTTTTAGAGAGAGGGGAGAGGAGGAAGAAAGACAGGGAGAGAGACATTGATGTGCAAGAGAAACATTGATTGCTTGCCTCACTCAAGCACCCAGCTGGCGAGCTGGCCTGAAACGCAGGCATGTGCCCTGACCAGGAATTGAACTGGCGACCTTTCGGTCCTCAGGCCAGCACTCAGTTCACTGAGCCACACCAGCCAGGGTGATCCTCCCATTTTTAATCATTCTTACTTTACCGTCCTCCATGGGGGAGTCTCGAACTTGGCCTTCTTTCCCAGTTCCTGCCAAGGGAACCCTGTCGGCAGCCCGGGGCTGCCTCCCCTGGTCCAGGTGGTGACATACCTGGAGGTGAAGTTGGGGTTGGCCCTGCCCTGGTGGTGCTGCTGCATCAGGGAGATGTTCTGTGGAACGAGAGAGAAAACCCAGCTGCCACAGCGGAACAGCCCGGTCAGCCCCGAGGCCCGGGGTTCAGGGAGAGATGGGGGAGGGAGGTGAGTGTTGGGAGGAGGAGCTGGAAACCACCCAGGCCTCTCCTGGTTCTAATCCCACCGCTCATGGAAGTCTTCTGGAAGCTCCTGGAAATAGCCACCCCGAGCTGCTTCATTCCCTTGCTGCCTTTGTCCTGGACCCAGTGTGAGGTATAACTTTGTTCCCCTTCTTTTTCCTCTGGGAAGTGACAAGCACTGGTCCAAAGGGTTTGTTGCAGGTAGTTCATCCTTGTCCTGCAGGAGCCTTACAACTCGATCTTGGGCTTCTGGGCTCAAGTCCAAATTCTGGGGTGAGACCATGAGGCCCGGCTCAGCCCTCGGGTCCCCCAGACCCATATATCCAAGTGCCTCCCGGTGCCCCTGGATCCCTCCGTTCTGACACCTCGGTTTTCCCAGCTAATGCGGATCTTCTGTCTTCCCTGGGGTGGAGTTAGGTTTCCTGTCACATACTCTGCACTTCTCCCATGTGACTCCTTCCTGATATCACTCACTTGGGTGATTGCTGCCTGCCTGTGTTGGGGGGAAGCTGGGGATGAGTTTCCTCTAACGCAGGTGCACGCAAGGAGAGGAGAGGAGAAGGAGGGACAGGCCCAGGGAGTGACCACAGGCGCTGGACCTGGCCGGGCGGGTCAAGGCCGTGCCTTTCGCCCCGCTGATCCTGGTTTGGGGCGTGGGTACAGCTCACCAGCCTGTGCTTGCTGTTCCCTTCATAGGTGTAGCCGTCCTCGTAGATGATGGTATGCAGCCCCAAAGAGTGGGGATTGCTCACCACTGCCTGTGGCGGGGACAGGACAGGCATTAGCAGCGCCACTGGGGTGATACCGGCAGGTGACTGCCATGCACCTTCAGAGTACAAACTGAGCTTGCTTGGCAAATGCACCTGCAAGGCCTATCCCCCAATGTCCCTCCTCCCGCCCTTGCCCCATGCACAGCCCCTGACTGGGGCCTCTAAACCTCATTCTGCAGACAGCCTGGAGCCGCTGACCTGCAGGGTCCAGACCTGTCCCTGGTGCGAGGAGAGCACTCTGGGTGAGAGCTGGATCCAGCCTGGTGTCCCCTCACTGGCCCTGTTCTGGCTGGCTGGGCTCCCCGCCATGTCCTTACATTAACCTGCCCCCCGTTTCCAGGCTGGGACATCGGGTTCCAGGCCCAGGACACCCGCCGTTGCTCAGGCGGCCCTGCTGCAGCAGGGAAGGCTGTGAGTCAAGGCTCTAGGAAGAAAAGGAATTGGCGGGAAGTACAAGGGGCAACTTGCAAGGGTGGAGAATGAGGCGCAGAGACAGTGCAAAAGGAGGGCAGACACAGGGCTCCCTCTGCCCAGGCACACAGAGGCTGGGAGAGAGAAAGACAGAGAGAGCGTCTGGGCCGCCATGAGTGGGTGTCTCTCCACAGGAGGACACCAGGGAGTTTCCAGAGTCTGGGAACAATGGACACAGGGCAAGAGGCCAAGAATGCTGGGAACACCATGTATCAGAAACACTTGTCCCACAGATAAGGAGATGTCCTTACGAGTGGGATCGGTGACGTGCCCGGCCTGGGTATCATCAGGGCGGTCAACTCCAATTTGCTGTTCATATCGATGATAAACATTTTGTTTTCAAATTCTCCTTGCAGAAGTTCTACCTAGGTCAAAATGCAAAGAAAATTTTTAAATTAAATCAAGCCTCTGTTTCCAAAAAAGGAAAGGGCAAGTTGGTAAGAGGTGGTCGGTGGTCTCCCAGAGAGATGGAACCTTCTAGTGTCATGGGTGCAGCAGCCGGGGCTTTCACTTGTGCCTCTTCCCCACTAGGTCCTGCACCCTCAGGGGCTCTTCAGGGTCCCCTCCTCTCTTTGGAAGACTATCCTGCCTGACCTTTGTGGTAATTGCCTTTCTCCTTGTGTTTCTTTCTAGCGTTATCACCAGGTGTGCATCCCTAGATGATGCATCTTGGTCTTGCCTGTTCCCAAACAGTGCTGTGCCTTTTAGGTCTCTCTCCTCCTGCAGCTCCCCCTCCACCCCCAGCCATTGGGGCTGCAGACTCCCACAGTCTGGATTTCCCTGGCTCAGCCTGGCCCATTGCTCTGCACTTTGCATCTCTGGCAGACTGGGGGAGGCCCACCACGTTCGGGTTGTGTTATGTTAGCAAGACTCAGCAGGTGCCTGATCTCATATCGATGGCACGCGATGGCCAGCTGTCTCTTTTTTGATGTAGGTGGCTGTTAATTTCCTGGGGTTGCTGTATGATGCTTTCCTAGCACTTTTTTTTTTCATATATTCACCAGAATGAATTTATCAGGGGACCATTTCCCTCTTCTATTTCCTGGCCCTGTAGAACAGCATGAAGAAAAGGCATCATAAATGCTGGCATCCTGGCTTTTACTCCTCAGTTCTCAGGACAGTGGACTCGTTTGCTGCCTTCTTTAGAAGGTGGCCAGTCTGTTGCTTCCTGGCTGATTCCAGGTCTGGGTGGAAAAGTGGACAAGATGCATGGGAACATCTCATCATAGTCACATGACTTGTTACTATCTGTGTCAATCCTGATTTCGGTTAAAACTGCATCTGCCAGCTTTCTCCACTATAAAGCTGCAGTTTCCATTTCCAGACTGTTCTTTCATTAGCAGGTCACTAGGGCCAGACAACACTAAGCAGGGGTTTAGCCCGATCTCCTAGAGAGGGATGTAGCTACATTCTTTGGAATTCTTCTGTAAAGGAATGTGTCTCCTCTCCCTTTATTTATTCTGCCATTTATTTACACCCATATGGACTTGTGCATATTTATTTTATACTTTGGCTTATTATCCAATAGTGTGTTGTTTATTTTTGTTGTTCAAGTTGTTCCAGCTTTCATCCATGGGTTTTTGTGATGATATATATATATATATATATATATATATATATATATATATTTTTTTTTTTTTTTTTGGGTGGGAAAAAAACCTGTCTGTTTCTCTTGCTCTATCTCTCTCTTCTCCACTTGTGCATAAGACCAGCAATTCTCAGATAGTGACTTAAAGAACCCACAAGAAAATCTCAATGGCTAGGGATTGACATTTGATTGCGGCAAATAAATAAAACTACTATCCATTGGCGCTATTGTCTCATAAAAGGATATTTTAATAAATCAATAAACTCAGTATATGGCACAGTTGCTCTTATTTTTTTCTCATTTCACTCAATGCCATGTGTTCAAAGGCCATTTAGAAGTGGACACTCTAAAAGCTTAGCCCCTCAGAGGGCAAGTGACCCCACAGATCTGTGACACTGAGGCAGCCTGGGCTCTGCTGAGCACAGTACTGAGCTGATATTTTATTTCTATTTTTATTTTTTTATTTTTTATTTTTTCCAAAAGAGATTCTTTATTTAAATCAGCAAACTCAGACTCTTCAAGCCCCAGCCCAGAGTGGGCAGCCCTCCCTCCCCTCTCCCCTCACCCCACCCCTCCCCTTTTCCACAGCGAGCGGAATGGAAAATGAGAAGCCAAGAGGGCCTCTGCCAGGGCAGGCTGCCTCCGATGTGCAGTGAGCCCAGTCCAGCTGTGGCGGGGGCGGGAGGGGCAGCTGCCACAGGCCCCTCCCTATAAATTAAGTCCCTGCAGCCGCAGCTGTGGGCAAGGCATATTTGTGGGAGGCCTGAAGGCAGCATCGCTGACACCCAGCAAAGGAATGGACTGAGGGCGCGCAGGTCATGGGAGACGAGGTATGAAGGGAGAGGAAGAGGTCCTACGTTTGGTCCCGGGAAAAAAAAAGGGGCCGGTTGGTCCAGTTTTTATGGGTTCGGAGAAGGGAACATATTAGTAAGCACAGGGGGAGAGGCCACCATTGGGCGCCCCAAGAGGAGACAAGCCAAGCCAGGTCCCTACCCTGGCAGAGGGGGGCTCTCAGGGAATGTCACTGCTAACATATATATATATGGCTGCGTGTGTGTGTGTGATATATAAATATATATATACACATATATATGTATGTATATATATATACTGAGAGATCTGCTCCATCTGCTTGAAGGCCATGGTGGAGGCCTGTATCTTCTTCACTCGGGCCTGCCCCTCAGGGTACAGTCCATTAATGAGCTCACACAGCACCGTGCCATCCTCGAGTCAGTTCTGGAAGTTCTCACACCCAGGCGGGGGCCAGCCCACATCCTTGCGGCACTGGGCGGTGACCCACTGGATCAGGATCTGCTCCAAGTCTGCATCATACTGTCTCTCAATCTTCTGCTGCACTTCTCGGCTCAGGCCGTAGGCAGGACCCCTGTTGGCCATTCTGAAGGGTGGTGGTGGCTGTAGGGAGCGTCGAGAGAGTGAGCGCGCACTCCATGCGGGTTGCAGGGCATGTGATATTTTATTTTTAAAGATTTTATTTATTTTTTGAGAGACGGAATGAGAGGTTGCCTCTCATATATGCCCCAACCAGAGACCGAACCCACAACCCGGGACTGACTCCACACCGAGGCATGTGCTCTGACAAGGAATTGAACTGGCAGCCTTTGCACTGCGGGACGACACCCAGCCAAGTGAGCCACACCAGTCAGGGCAGCACTGAACTAATTTAGTACATTTTAGAGCATTGAAAGACGGGATGGGGTTGCTGGACAAGATAGGCTTTCAGACGGCATTTCCTTGGGTATGGAAATCAGTGCAGTCGCTGAAAAACAGTACAGAGCGTCATCAAAAAATTAAATGTGGAACCACCACATGACCTGGAAATTCCCCTTCGGGGTATTTATCCAAGGAAATGAAATCACTGTCGTGAAGGGGGACATGCACCTCCATGTTCGCTGCAGCACTATTCCCAACAGCCAAGCTATGGAAACAGCCTGTGCCCGTCGGTGAGCGAGTGGGTGGAGAAGATGTGGTATGTATCCATCTGTATTTATAGCCACAGTGAAATACTGTTCAGCCTTAAAAAAAGGAAACCCTGCCATTTGTGACAACATAGATAGGCCTTGTGGGTATCATGCTGAGTGAAATCAGTCAGAGAAAGACAAAAACTTTATGACCTTACTTACACTCGTATATGGAATCTAAAGAAGCTGAACTCACAGAGCCAGGAGACAGATTGGTGGTTGCCAGAGGCAGGGGCTAGGGGTGGTGAAATGGGTGAAGCGGGTAAAAAGGTACAAACTTCCAGGTCTAAGATACTGGGCAAGTAATGTCCATCACGGTGACTAAGTTACCCATAGTCATCACATATTAGAAAGGGGCAAAAACCCTCATCAGAGGAAAAGAGTTTGTAACTATGTGTGGAGATGGATGTTAACTAGATTATTGTGGTGAGCATTTAACAATGTAAACCTATATCAAATCATTATGCTGTAGACTTGAAACTAATCAATGTTATGTCTGTAAAAACTCATTAAAACTGGAAATAAAAACTTTAAAAATAAAAAATAAAAGTAAAGTTAGGAAAAACTTTCCTGTACTTCTGACCATGTGATTGCCAGGGACTGGGGGAGAGGGATTCTGGGGAGAGGGATTCTGGAGGAGCCTTAAAAATAAGACATTTTACTGTATCTGTCCAGCAGCTGTTCCTCCTCCTGAGAGTATCCGCAGTTTCCTTTGGGAATATCCTGAGTTTTCCTTGGCAAATCACCCTTTTGCACATCCTTGGACATGTGGCCTGGTGGGTGATGAACTGACTGCACCATCTTGAAGAGACGGCTCTGATTGGCTCACCCCAAGCCATGTGATTGGTCCAGGAATGGGTGTGTCATCCTCTCTGAGCCAATGAGATGTGGGAGGCATGCTGGGATTTCTCTTGGCTTCTTCAGGGCTCTGATGAGAGCCTTCTCTCTTGCCAGGGATATAGCGTGAGGATGCCAGGTCCTCAGGGTTGGCTGACAGCTTGCTGCCATGATAATTGAGAGCCTTGGGCTTCCCAGTGGCATCCAGATGGAGCTACAGGATGAAGCAGGAAACACCCGCAGCGGAGAGAGGGAATGAACCTGGCCTCTGGTGGCATGATTTCTGTTACTAGATCAAGCCTCCGCTGAAGTCTTTCTCCGTTGGGCTTTTTGGTCCTAGAGTCAACGTTTGCCTTTCTGGTTTAAGCCGATTTGATTTGGATTTTCCATCACTTGCAGAACAGTAAATGCAAACTGATATGTGCATATTTCTATATTTCTATGATTTTCCCCCTCTGTAATTCGTCTGCTTGGCCGGGGTCAAGGCTGACCCCCAGGGCTTGGTGGACGGCTTGGGCCTGAATGAGTCTCCCTCTCTGGGGGGAAGTTTCTGTGGAGCCATGACTTCATTTGACTACCTGTGGTCCTGAGAACCACATTACTTACTTTTTTATCTTCTGAACAATTTTAAGGGTTGGTTGACTTTCTTATTACAAAGAGCATCTACTAAAAGTGAAATATGTTTCTATGTGAAAAAATGAACAGGAAATTGTATAAGATGTGGATGCCTGACTTTGGGGCATTGGTGGCTGGTTGCCAGGCTTTGTTGTTTATATGAAATTCAACTTTAACTGGGGATCCTATAGTCTAGCAGGCAATCAACCCCACCTGAAGCCCTACACGTGGCTGCCAGCCACAGATTCCCAACTCTGGGTCTCTGGGATTGGTCTTTAAAAAACAAACAAACAAACAAACAAACAAACAAACAAACAGTGTCTTGCACATGGAGCTAAGCAGCTAAGATCACATACTTTGCAGGCATCAAGTTGGAGCTGGGGGTCCGTGAGAATTGCCTGGATATTCAAGGGACACTTCTGGAAATCAAAAGCTGGAAAAGCGGGATCGGGAAGTGGGGTCAGGATTTCAAGCATCCCCAGGTCAGTGAACATGAGGGCTGCCTCTTGGGACCAGCCGTTTTGGTGTGCAATCTGGAGAAAAAATGGGATTTCTGGAATCAGGTCATTCTAATTCTTTTCTGAAGATATAAATTTTGTCTTAGGATTCAGGTTTAAAGAAGGTAGACAAAAGAAAGAAACAAACAGAGCAAAGTCATAGGTACACTTTGTTGAGACACCTACTCTTAAGTTTCATTCATCCCTGGGTGTTTAAATTACTAATGGAAACTGTGTTTCCTATCATAGACCTCCTTGGAGAATCAGAAAAGCTACAGGATCTCTCCCCAGAAAACATTGTTCTCAGAATGTCAGGGTTAAGGCTTCCAAGAGACAGCAATTCTTTTTTAATTCTATTGTCAGCAATTTTCAAGAGGTACGGTGGCTGTACATCTAACAGGAAAAACACTGGAGTAGCTTCACAGCTCGGCGGACTTTTCTGGCCCAGTTGTTAAGGAGCTGTGGGGCTTTAGGAGAGAGAGGAACTTGAACTTCAGTTTTCTCCCTGTAAAAAGTTGGACGATATTGACTCCTTCATGGGGTGATTGTGAGAATGAAATAAAATTAGATAAGCATAATGTACAAGATAACGGGAGACGGTCCCAGCTTCACCACTCCCTGCTGCTGTAACCTCGGACAAGTGACTTTACCTTTCCATTCTTCAGTTTGTCCATCTGTCCCATGGGGACAATATAAGGGTCTATTTCTTAAGACAATGGTCAGGATTAAATGAAGTAGCCATCAGAAGATGGTTAGAGCAGCATCTGCCATATTCTAAGTGCTCAGTAAGTTTTAGCTGCCATTGCTGTTCTTTTAACAATGATTAAAATTACTTTTGCCACTAAAAGTATTCAATTGATGTTAATAATTTAATATCAATTAAAAATTATTGTTATTACTACTGCTATTAAAATGTTGTTACTATTTTAATAACTTGAGCGATTTCTAGCCTTCAGAAACAGTATTGGGAGCTTGGGAACAAGATCGCTACTCCTGGCGAACCCGGCAGTGACCCTGACTTTGGTTTTACCTACTTTGATCAGGAAGATTTTCAGGATTCCCAAGCTGCCATAATACAAGTTATTCTCCTGAGTTAAGACTGCCAGTTCATTTTCATCTAGGAAAAAAAGCAAACAAGACAGAACAGAAATTGAAAGGAGGCTTCTCTCAATGGACTAAAGGATTAAAAATATAAACAGTTAAAAAAAATTACTCCCAATTCCATCATCTAGACTGAGGGTCAGCAAACTTCTGTAAAGGACCAGGTGGCAAATATATTCTGCTGGTCATGTGATATGTTAAAACTATTTAACTCTGTGAAAGCAGCTTTGGACAACTTGTAAAGAGATGGGCATGACTGTGTTCCAATAAAACTCTATTTATAAAAACAAGCTTTGGGCTAGGTTTGGCCCACAGACCAGGGGTTACTGAGACCTGACATAGGTAACCACTGTTAACATTTTAATAAATGTCTTTTCTGATATTTTTATATATGTGTGATCATATTCTGGAAACTTCTAAGCTGCTTTGTATTTTTTCTTTCCCTCTGTGTACATGAATGCAGTTGGCTGGTTGATGTTCTGGTGCCAGATGAACTATAACTTACTTAACTGGTCCTCCACTGATGGACACTAGGGTTGTTTCTGATCTTTTGCGTATACAGAGTTCCAAGGAACACAGCACACCATTAAGAAAGAGGGCAACAAGATCCAATGTATATTTTCATTCTTTTTTTTTTTTAAAGCAACCAAGTAAGTTTTCAGAAGGAGCAAGGCTTAAGCTGAGCCTTGAAAAAGCATTTGATATAGAAAGTGAGGTGTATCTACAGGGCAATAGCCAGACCAATGTTGCTGGCAGTTTCTCAACATGGGCCCAGCTGACATTAGGGGCTGGATGGGTCTTCGTGGTGGGGGCTCTTCTGTGAATTGTATGATGTTGGGCAAAAGACCAGCAGCACCCCCGAGTCATGACAACCACAAATGTCTCCACTCACTGCCCAAGTTGGGAGCCACGGCATTAGGTGGACAGAGGCGGGCAGCCGATAAGATACAAGGTACCTGGACGTGAATGTCATTCTTGTGGATTTGAACTTTATTCTTCAGAAAATAAGAAGCATTAGCAATTCCAGCCATGGGAGATGATGTGTACTCAATGTCTTTTTTTAAAAAAAAAGGGAGTGGGAAGACAGGACATTGACTGGGAGAAACTATTTGCAGAACCTATTTCTGATAAGGGATTTGCATCTAGAATATATAAAGAACTCTTACAACTTAACAATAAAAAGACAAACATCCCAATTAAAAAATGGGCCAAGGACCTAAATAGATATTTCAGCTAAAAAGCTACCCGCAGGGTAGGCACGCACTGGCAGCCACATTGTGGATGGTGACACTGGCTTCAAAAATGGAAGAATACAAGGCTTTCTGCCCTTCTTGCACGTGGACAGGGCCGACGAGCTGACCTACAAGACAACAGGACAGAATTATGAGACCTGGACACGTGTTGGAAGGGGGTGTCCACTGCTGAAATGCCATGCACCCCATCCCTTGGTTTGTGACTCAAATGATAAAGATTCAAGGAAACTATAACGCTGAGATACACTGTTGTAAAATGTCCTTTGGAATATGCTTAGGTTTAAGGAAGCTTTTTCACCATTGGGAGGCTTGACCCCCACGGAATGCTTTTTACTGTACAGGTAACATGTACAAGGAAAAAGACAGAATTTGCTTGCCCTGGCCCGGTAGCTCAGGTCATTAAGAGCATCATCCCACTACCCCATGGTTGTGGGTTTGGTCCCTTACATATAAGAATCAACCAATAAGAGAACAACAAAATTGATGTTTCCCTCTCTCCCTTCCTTTCTCTCTTCAGCAAACAAACAGCTTTCTTTCTGGAAAGGGCTCTCAAAACAGGCAGGTCAGGCTTGAGCTCTTTTCTTTCTTTCTTTCAAAGATTTTATTTATTTATTATTTAGAGGGGAAGGGAGGGAGAAAGAAAGGGAAACATCAATTGGTTGCCTTGGTTGCCTCTTGCACGCCCCCAACTCAGGGCCTGGCTTGCAACTCAGATGTGAGTCCTGCCAGGAATAGAACCAGTGACCTTTGGGTTTGTGGGACAGCACCCAATCCATTGAGCCACACCAGTCAGCTGAGACCTTTTCTTGCATTGCAGGGAACACGGTATTCAGGCAGCCTGACTGCTGCTGGGTGTAGCTGGCTGTGATTGCAGGTGCTCTCACAGCCATACCTGGGCCCAGAGGTCCCTGATAGCACCTCTTCCAGGGATGGCTGCCTTTTGCTTCTCTGCTTATGCCAGCTGGTGGGCTGGGGCTCACATTACCGGGGTACTGCCAGGATTCCTCAGCTAGTCCAGCTGCAGGTGCTGTGTCACTTCCAGATTTTTCTCTCTTCTGGGGGAGGCTCAAGTGAGTGGTCCTAACCCATCTCCTGGAATCCCTAGCCTCAACCCCGAAAGGAGATCTGCAGTTCCTGGACTGAAGACTTAGATCCTATGCCCTCAGCATCTGGTGACTTTCAGAACCTGCCTATGTGCCCCTGAAAGTCCCACAAGGCAAGAAGTGGGTTGGGAGGGATGCAGTTAGAATGGCAAAATAAGGAGGGGTTCCTTGTTGTCCACTGAAGTCCGGGGAGAGAAAATAAGTCCTGCCTGGAGGGGGACGCCTTGCGGCAGCCCTGAGCCCAGGCCTTGCTCACCTGCATTTCGGGAAACTAAGAGGCTCTTTTCAAACCAGAAGATCAGAAGGCCTTTCTGGCCTGGGATGGTGAGGATGTCCAGGGTCCCATTGTAGTCAAAAGGAAGCCCAAAATTGTGGTTCAGGGGGTGGTCCGAGTACCCAAACTTGGCCTAAGAGAGAAAGACTACTGAATCTCACGTGATAAAAGACGTCACCAAGTCTAGGTTACAGGGCGACAGACAGGTGAAGGTCCACGTGCCTTGTTATTCGAGCTTTCTGCAAACATTCTTATTACCTGGTCCAGGGGCTCTCAGTTTGGGGCGATTCTGCCTCTCGGGGACACCAGTCATGTCTGTGGTGGTCACACCGAGGCTGCTCCTGGCATAATGGGTGGGGCCAGGGATCATACTCAGTACCCCACAGTGCCCAGGAGGGTTCTGGTGATAAAGAACTAGTCACCGAGAACGTCCACAGTGCCGAAACCGCGGTGCCCTGTGTGCCCTCGTTCTCTTCCGAGCCCGTGTTGGCGCCCTTGTTCCGGATTTATTATTTAAGTTGATGTCTCTCTTCCATCCCACCTTTGTGCACATCCCGATTCTTTTCCCAACAACCTTTTCCATTACGTGACTCCACTTGCCCCTGGCAACCCTCTAAGGGCCGGCTCCAGTGTCAAATCTAAATTGCTCTGCATGGTTGTCGAAGCTCCCTCTTATCTGCTCTTTATGAAAGGCCCCAGACAGCTCTGTGCAAGGAAAGGATTTTAAAAAGCACTGTCAATGATTCATAAGTGAGTCCCACCAAGGCAGCTGCACCCCCTTCCCCGACGATGCACGCTGGAGAGGAGGGAGAGACTGCTGCCTGGTTTTCTAAGCACTTCCTGGGAAGAGAACTGAGCGCTCAGGGTGAGGATGGGCTGTGCACAGGCTGCTGAACTTGACTAGTCCTTCTCCCCTCCCTCCGTGGACACTGGCAGGGCTCATCTGTATGAGGCGCTTAAGAGACAGTGTGCGTGAGTTCTCATCCCCCAGCTCATCCCATTGTGCTATGAACTGGCTGGCCTTGGTCCCAGATGTTAAAATTGCTCAGCTGAGGTGCCTGTCCGCACAGCCAATTAAGGCAACAAAGCAAACATGACAGAGTTCAGCCTTTAATTGCTTGCTGCAGTCCGGTGGAGGAGAGAACAGGCCAGTGGAAACGCAGCCCTCTGCCCCATTCCCCCGCCCCACGGAAGGTCATGCCAGGGGAGGGTCTGCTGGATCAGCACTAGTGAGCGGCTCCTCTGTGGAGAGAGGCCTCGCAAAAGGCTCCAGCACTCTTATGCACCCAGGAGCCAGGGAAGCCGGGGAGGGCCTAGGGCTGGGAGCAGAAAGGTACTGAGCTGTGAGTCCGAGCAAAGTGTCAGCCAAGTTTCCTACCCTCCCTCCATAGGGAGGCTCCTAAAGAGGACTTCAGCAGAAGACCGAAGGTTAAGACCTAGAAATAAAGGCTGCCCACGGGGCCTGGGACGATTGCAAGTCCTTTAGAGCCTGCAAAGCATCTTGACTGATCCTGTCTCAAGTCTGGAGTGGGAGGGCAGCGTCCCTCCTGGCGCATGCCAGGTAAAGCTTTCCTGATTGCCTGCGGTGAGCCCGGAACGGCAACAGACTGTAACCAGGAGCTGGACTCCTCAGCCACTACATCCCGAGTTGCGAGTGTCTTTGTAATTCAGCGCAGCCCGGCAGCTTATGCTAATGAGGGCGGTTTGGGTGGGGGCTGAACCAATCACGTGTTAGAGGGCGGGGCTTTCAGCCACCAGTTATCAACCCAAGCTCTGGAGGCTTCCTGGTGGTGGGCCGCCCCCAGATTTCAGAGCTGCACATCCCGCTCACCATTTTTGTAATACCAGGTCCCGACTGTACGTAACATCTTTCCTACTTAATATTTTTTCTTCAAATGCAGATTAGATGGACCAACTCCACTTCTTAGTCTTATTCTAAATGACATCTGTGAGGGCACAGGTTTCACATACTGATTTTCTGAATATCCATGAAAATTGTTTCCAAAAAGTTTGATGTGAGGTATTTAAAATGATCCGTGCGCCATCAGTGACATGCACCACATCTTGTAGATAATCCCTGGTGCTCGGTGCCACTGCTTAAATATGCTGAGTGCAGGACTGAATGAGCAAATGGGGGGAGGGTGAAAGGGAGAGTGGGTGGGTGAATGGGTGGGTGGGTAAGTGGACTGATAAGGAGGTAAATGGTAGATAGACGAGTGGTCGCAGGGATGAGTGGATGGATGGTTGGTGAGGCGGATGGATACATGGATGGATACTAAATGAAAAGCTAGATGCATTTCAGAAATGAAAACCCAAGTGTGTGAGGGTTTTTTTTAGTTCTTTAAAACAATGTTTTTATTAAAGTGTGTGAATTTTAATAAAAACCTTGCTTGGGGCAAATGTCCTTTAAGTCATTCTTCCCAGTCCAAGTGACTCACCTTCCCTTGATCAGTGAGGAGCAGCCCAACCTGTGACAAGGAGTGAAGGTAGAAGATCCCACCCAAAGACCCAACCAGTTCTGCCTATAAAACAAACCAAAAAAGTTGCATATGAATAAATTATAAACATATATTTAATTCTCTTTTTAACTTTAGAGTATCCAATAAGCTAAAATGAAGGAAACTCTTTTAAAAAAAAAGATCTATTTTTTCCTCTGTGGAAATGTAGCATCTAAGGCAGAACCCCGGGTGAAGACAGCTTTGTGCTGGGTGCCGGAGACCGGGTGTGTGGCCCAGACAGCGAGCCGCCGCCTGCCTGGGTCCTTTGTTTCTGTGTGGCTTCCTCATTCCTGACTTTTGGCTGTTCAGCAGAGTGCCCAGCATCCAAGCTGGAACACAAGGCCAAGCTGACGTCTTTCAGGTAAGAGAGAGACTACTATCTTATTTAAGCCTCTGTGGGGGTTTTTTTTAGGGGGAGTTCTATAATATGCAGTCCTATGGACTGAATTGTGCTCCCTCCCCAAATTCATCGGTCAAAGCCCTAAGCCCATGTCTTAGTTCATTCAGGCAACTTTGACAAAATCCCATAGACTGAGGGGCTTATAAACAATAGAAATTTATCTCTCACAGTTCTGGAGGCTGGAAGTCTAAGATCAAGGTGCCAGCATGGTCCAGTGAGGGCGGACTTCTGGGTCACAGACTTCTCACCATGTCCTCACCAGGTGCAGGTGGGCCAGCAAGCTCTCTGGGGACTCTTTAACAAGGGCACTAATCCCATTCATGAGGGCTCTGCCTTATGATTTATGCATCTCCCAAAGGTCCCATCACCAACAATAACCACACACACATACATACACACACAGAGCAAAAAGACTCTTGTGTTAATAATTGGTATTTAAGTGATAGGACATCAAAGAGAAGAGTAAGCATTGCTCTAGGACTTTACCTCTTCTCCTGGGGAGTGGTTAGTGATTTTTGTTGTTGTTGTTGTACATTGGATAGTTGTATTTTTCTGGGTGAAATTATGACCTTGTCAGTGTCTTTATTTAGAGATTCAGTTTGAAGGAGATGCATATGGGTGTCAAACTGACAAGAGTGGACTTTGATGGTTATTTCTGTGTGTCCACTCAGCTGGACTAAGAGATGCCCAGAGAGCTGGCAAAACATTATCTCTGGGTGTGTTTCTGGAAGAGAATAGCTTTTGATTTAGTAGACCCAGGAAAGGAGGTCCATTCTCATCCACGTGGGTGGACCCAAATCCACTGGAGGCCCAAACAGTATGAAAAGGCAGAGGAAGAGCACACCCACTCCCCCTCTTTGATCTGAGGTGTCCATCTTCTCCTGCCCTCTGACATCAGAGCTCCAGGTTTTCCAGCCTTTGGATTCTGGGACTTACACTGGGTCCTTCTAGGTCTAATTTTGAATGAAGACATGTGGCTGATTAGGTTCGAGGCTTCGCTGGGCTTCCTGGGAAGGGCTGAGAAACCAGACCTGAGACGTGACTAAAGCTGGAGTGTGGAGTGGGCTCTGCCTTCCTTCCTTTAGACAAACTTCAACAAATGTCTGGGGGTGAAGCCATTCCCTGAGTCAGAATAAACTGTCTTCCTTAGCAACACAAACATCCGTCCACTTCAGCCGTTGGAACCCAGCTCTTCCAGGCTGCGCCGCCTTGGCAAAGGCTCTGAGCCTTTCTGAGCCTCTCTGAGCCTTCATCCCTGCAGGAATTTCCCAGGGCTGCCAAAAATATACACTACATATTGGGGGTAGGGGACTTGCAATAACAGAAATTGAATGTCATGGTTATGGAAGCCAGAGTCTGAAATCAAAGCATCGGCAGGGTTGGTTCCTCCCAGGGCTGTGAGAAGGAGCCCACGCCATACCCTCTCTTCTAGCCCGTGGTGGTGGCCAGCAGCGCTCCGCGTCCCCTGCCTTGCAGCTGCATCCAGCTCTTCTGCGTCAGCCTCCGTCTTCACACAGCCTTCTCTTTTGTGAGCATCGCTCTGTGTCCTTGCCTCTTCTGAGAAGGACACCAGTCATTGGATTCAGGATCCAACCTAATCCATTATGACCCCATCTTGACTGAACAAATACATCTACAAAGACCCTATTTCCAAGTAAGATTAGATTCTGAGGTTCTGAGTGGACATAAATTTTAGGGGGACACATTCAACTCAGTAACATTCTCATCTGTAAAATGGGGGTGATGGCCCTGGCTGGTGTGGCTCAGCTGGTTGGAGAAGCATCTCATAACTGAAAGGTTGTGGGTTTGATTACCAGTCAGGGCACATGCCTATGTTGTGGGTTTGATCCCTAGTCCTGGTGCGTATGGGAGGCCGCCAATCGATGTTTCTCTCTTCCTTCCTCTCACCTTTCCTCTCCCTCCAAAAGCAATGAAAAAATGTCCTTGGGTGAGGATAAAACACGTTATTTAAAAATGGGGGTGATGATGGTACTGATCTTCAGGTGGGCGTGGAGTTAAGTATCATAATTAATATGCAGCCTTTACTATGGTACCGGTTTTCATAAGCACTCCCCAAATGTGCTATCATTTAAAGCCTTTTGTCCCCTTTCCTTACTTCCTAATCTCCCTGGCCAGCTCCTTTGGTCTGGCGCTTTCCCTGTCCTCCTGAGAGAGAGAGCCCTGGTTCATCCACTCAGTGCTAACCACTCCAACTCCACATGGGGTATATACATCCTTTTTTTGTTCACTTTCTTACCCAAATGAACATACCTGATTTTCATAGACATACTTCTGAAATCTGTATCCCCAGGAATCTGAGAGATATATGTTGGTCTGAGATATCTGATCTCCACGCAAATAAGCAAAAATGGAACTACTTATATCCTGGAAAACACACATACACACACACACACACAGAACCGTCTTTTAAAAGATTTGAGGGGTGGGGAGGGGAGATGCTGTTGAAGGTCACTGACTTGCAACCTGTAAATAAATAAGTTCTGTAGATGTAATGCACAGAGGAGTGATTATAGACAACAGTACTGTATTGTAGACTTCAAAGTTGCTTAGAGGTTATATCTTCAACTTTTCCACCACAGAAAAAAAGAAATGATATTGATGTGACAAGATGGGGGTACGCTACAGTGGTCCTCATGTTGCCATATATGAATGTATCAAATCATCATAGAGTATACCTTAAACTTACACAATGTTATGTCGATTGTATCTCAATTAAAAAAAAAAAAAAAAAAAAAAGAGCTTGAGCCCTGGCTGGTGTGGCTCAGTGGATTGAGTACTGGCTTGAGAATGGAAAGGTTGCCAGTTCGATTCCCAGTCAGGGGGCATGCCTGGGTTGTAGGCCAGGTCCCCAGTAGGGGGCGTGTGAGAAGCAACTGATCTGATGTATCTCTTGCACTTTGATGCTCCTCTCCCTCTTTCTCCTTCCCTTCCCCTCTCTCTAAAAATAAATAACTAAAATCTAAAAAAAAAAAAAAGGAGATTGATACCAACAGTTAAACTCCTGGGCATTTATCCCAGAAAAATGGTAACATATGTCCTCACAAAAATCTGTACATAAGTAAGTGGTCATAGGGCTTTTTTTGCAATAGTCAAAAAAGTGGAGGTGACCGAGTTCTGGTACGTTTACAGAATATTACTTGGCAATGAAAGGAACATACTAGAGATATATACAACAAATTGGATGAGTCTCCAGAGAATCAAGCTGAGAAAAGCTAATCTTCAAAAGTTCCATATTGTATGATTCTGTTTATAGAACCCTCTTGAAGGGATAAAATTATGGAGATGGAGAACAGACTAGCAGTTGTCAGGGGTTAGGGGTGGCATAGAGACAGGGAGGTATGGAGTTCTGGGGTGATGGAATAGTCTAGTATTTCAACGGCAGCAGTGGTTCTGTATTGCAACAATGTGCTAGAACCTCACACACACTGCACCTATGTCAATACTGGTTTCAGTATGATACTATAGTTATATAAGATGTAACCATTGGGGAAAGCTGGGTGAAGGGTATATCAGACTCTATGTTTTTTTCCAACTTCCTGTAGGGTCTTTAATTATTTCAAAATAAGTTTTTTTTTTCCCTTCAAGGAAGGTAGATGGATATATTCATAGTGTGCCATCCAGTTGATCTAAAAGTAGCCCCAGATCCCCTCCTGTGTCTCAGGTTGTCTGCTGAGTCCTGGGGAACTGACATTGCCCAAGTCCACGGGCTCAGCCTTCAAGGCTTAGCCGGTCCTTACTGCCATCTGTGCTCAGAGCAGAGTAAACAAATGCCACACCGTACTCACCAAGCAAAAGGGATGACCATTATAGCAACAATTCTCACCAGAAACATGTGAAACAGGGTGTTCTATGCCTGAAAGGAAAAGATCATTTGAAAACTATATGAGTTCCCTGAAGTTCAGAGAAAGGTTAGAGCAGGGTTTGTCAACCGACTATTGGCACTTGGGGTCAGATGGCTCTTGGCTGTGGGGGTCGTCCTGTGTACTATGGGACTTTTTGCAGCGCCCCTGCCTCTAATGACCCAATGCGAGTAGCACCCACCTCCAGTCTCGATGACCAAAAATATCTCCCCACATTGCCAGGTGCTGTCTCAGGGGCAGACTGCCTCCACTTGGGAAGCACTGGTTTTGCGGACACTCTTTTAGGACTATGCCAAAATCGCAGGAAGAACGCCCTTCTCTTACTGAGGCGTTCTTCGATTTTATTTTACATGCAGAAACTTTAGCTTGAAAGGAAACAGACAATAACCAGTGTTGGTAAGAATGTGAAGAAAGTGGGACCTTTGCAGGAGCTGAGCAGGGCTGTTGAGGACAGGACACTGTTCGCAGCTCTATTCACAATGGCCGAAAGGAGGACACAACCCAGAGTCCACCAGCTAATGAATGGATAGAAGAAAGTGCTCCAGCCACACACTGGAACACCACTCAGCCCTAAAGAGGAGTGAAGTTCTGACACACTACAACGTGGACAAATTTCAAACACACCACGCCGAGTGAAAGAAGCCAGCTACCAAAGGCCACATATTGTACGATTCTTTCATATGAAATGTCCTCAACAGGCAAATCCATAGAGATAAAAAGCATATCAGTTGCTGTTGGGGGCTGGAGGAGAGGGATAGACAGTGGCCACTTAATAGGAACCAGATTTATTTTTGGAATGGTGAGAATGTTCTGGAACTTGACAATGGTGATGGTTGCACAACATCGTGAATGTACTAAATGCCATCAAATTGTACGCTTTAAATTGGTTAAAATGGTGAGTTTTGTGTGAATTTTATGCTCTCGCCCCGCAGAAGGGAAAAAGAGCCGTGAGCTGGGAGAGAGGGAATGACTGGACCGGAGGGTCAGGAGGGAGCCCGAGAGGCTGGGGGGCGAAGGGAGGGCCAGGTGCCTGGATTCGGGAGGGAGGGAGGGGACAGAGGTCTTTCAGGCAGTTTGGCTGTGGGGCGGGAAGTTCTATTACATGTTGGTCAACTGATGTTTCGAAGGCAGATGTGTGTCAGGTTTAGATGTGACGAACTGATGAGACGGTCCCCAGACCGGCCTTCAGGCCACCGCGCTTTACTTGGGTTGTGCACATTCTCCAGGGACCTGATTATATACAGTGTCCACACCTCTACCAAGGGGCTCGGAACATTCCAGGTGCCGACTGACCGCAGTCCGGCCGATCACCTTGTGGACAGTCAAGCTGGAACACTAATGAACAGCGAGACAGAGGCTGAGCCGAGGGGTGGCCCTGCTGCTGTGCCCCTGTCCCTCTCGAAGGCTGGGTCAATTCCCCAGCCAGTGTTTAGCGAGCAAGTGGTGGGCACACGTTCACTGGGGCAGGGTGCCATCGTGGGGGCCTACAATCTTTCTCTAGAACTAATACAAGGGGAGTGGAAGAATAAGAAATTGCCAGAAGGTGATCTGTCAACCCGGGGGCCCTCCACTGAGGGGGATTTTACCTCGCAGGGGGACACCGGGTAATGTCTGGAGACATTTTTGGTGTGAGGACTTGGGGGTGCTCCTGGCAGGGAGTAGGTGGGAGCCAGGGATGCTGCTCCACACCGTCAGTGCCCAGGACAGCCCCACCCAGAGAACAATCTGCCCCTAGATGTCTGCAGTGCCAGAGGGGGGACTTTGTACTACTGACCCCTCCTCGCCGTCATGAGTACCTGTGCTCTCTCTTGGCCTTCTTCCCTTTCTCTGAAAAAAGAGAAGGTCATTTTTCTTCTTTTCTACAGAATAACATCTCCCATCTTCATTCTTGACTCCATCTCCTTGCCTCCTAGCTCAGGGTTCTCTTTCTTTCTCTCTCTTCATCCAACCAGCCTTCTCTACTGTCTGTCCCCTGACCCCAATATGAAGTCCCTAGGACAAACATCCTGTCACCCAGCCTTGTCAGCAAGCATCTAGGAGTCATTCTTGCCCAGAGCAGGTTTTGCTGGCTTGCAACTACAATCCTCAGTGAAACACCAGGTTCCCACCTTATGGGATGGGAGTCAGGCCGACTTCTGTTTGAATTTTAAAGGACCAGCTAACATCCACAGGTGGACATCCAGGTAGCACTATGATTTGTTCTTCCAAAATTAATAACCATTTCTCCGATGTTGGCAAAGTCAAACAAAATCTTTAAGAAACACACAAAAAAGCACATACCTCTAGATGTCTCCCAGGAATTGTCTTCATAATCATAAGTATAGACTTTTTTATTCACTACTAACAGCAATACTGAACCAGCAAAATGTGCTGATGTTACTTCTGGTATGCCAACCTGCAAACGATGACATACATGACATCAAGCAGCACATCTGTTCAGATATTAATTTGGAGAGCATTCTAGACATGCATCCAAGAAACATTTTCATGCCAGCAGGAGGTGTTCAGTTCCTAGGTATTGGGGACCACGTACCCTGGGCCCAGCTGGAACCAAAATTAGGAGGTTGAAATTGGTGTTTGGAGCCCACAGACACCTAAATTCACTCCATCTCCTCCCTCATCAAAACCTTCTCTGAGGATGAAGCCTAAAGATAAGTTATGAATGAGGAGCATAAGTAATAGGCATAACTGTTGCTTCTAAGAGAAACATTGGAATCCTAATGGATGGCAAAACCTCTTTAGCAGAGGTGCTAGTGGTAGAATTTTTCAAGACAGCTACCAAGAAGGTAAAGGTTTTTCTGTTTTGGTTTAGGACAATTTAGGGAGGCCCTGAAATTAGTGCATGTAATCTATCTATTCCCAACACATAACCAGTTGTAGGGAGGACTGGTAACAATTCTGTTTCCTTTGTCAGGAAAAGGTACCATTTTGGTAGTAAGGGGAGAATAGAATCAACCCTTCTTTTTGCTTAGAAATTGTCCTCAATGTCTTAAGAGATACATTTTGTAAAATAAACCCCAAACTAACGAAAACAGACTAATGTGACATGTCCAAACTATACCTTTACCCTGAGTACTACATATTTCAAACATCCCTCCGATTGCCCCATATAACAGCTACCTGCATTGATATAGGGATGGAAAACGGGTGGAGACTACTCTCAAAGTTATTTCTCGTGAAAAAAAGTTGTTGCCTGAAATAAACAATAAGAGTTAAATTAGGAGAATTTCATGCAAGAAAAGAAAAAAAGACAATGGCATGCACTCTAAAAATGTTCCATCTAAAATTCCTTTTTTTTTTTTTTTTTTTTTTTTTTTTAGCAAGGATCCACTTAGGTTCACTCTATCTATATACCTATTTAACCTATCTCATCTATCTGTAGCTATCTCTTTTTGCATGAGTAAATTTCTCTGGCCTGGGTGTTTGGATTCTTGAAATAACATTATTTTAGAAGTGTACCATATATGGATATGGTTGATATGTCCCTTCGCTCTCCCGCCTGACCATTGTGCACGAGCTGTTTCTCGAACAATCAGTTGAGGCTCTGCCTCAGGGCCTTTGCACATGCTGTGGCTGCTGCCTGGAATGCTGTTCTCCTTGATTGTACTAGGGAAGGGCACTCCAGGCAGAGGGAGCAGCTGGGATGAAGGTCTCAGGAAGGGTATGCACTAGGAACATAAACAAGTTAACTTTGTAGGTTAATTTCCTAGAAATGGGATTATTGTATCTGAGAATACATGTTGAACATTTTGACAAATTCTGCCAAACTGTCCATCTACAGAAGGCAGACACACTTAACCTCATGTTCATTCCTCACCAACACGATAGGCAAAAAGTGATATTTCATAATTTTGTTAAGCATTAGAATTTCTAATTTCAGGAAGCTGTTAAAGTCAGACCCTTCCCGACTCCAGTGAGTTCTGGGCATCAGAATGCCATTTAAACGTGTTGTGTTCTAGGCTGGAGGTCTTGTGAACTTTTTCTTTAAAGGGCGAGACAGAAAACCTTTTAGTAGCTGAATGGCCTCTCTCTAAACCATTCAACTCTGCCACAGACAATATGTAAATGAAAGGATGTGGCTGTGTGTCAATAAGCTTTACTTAGGGACACTGAAATTCGAATTTTATACAAGTTGCATGTGTCACAAATATTGTTCTTTTTATTATTTAAAAAGTGTACATTAAAGTAGAGTCGGTATATAATATTATATTAGTTTCAGGTGTGCAACATAATGATTCGACTTTTATATGCCTTACGACATGACCATCACAGTAAATCTATTAAAACCTCTCACTGTGCAGTCACCCTGCTATTATTGCGGTACTCCCTGTGCTGCCCACTGCGTGCCCGTGGCTCACTCCTTTTACAACTGCAAGTCTGTGCCTCTCATTCCCCTTCGCTTTTTTCGCCCATCCCCCTACCCTGTCCCATCTGGCACCATCCTTTTAGTCTTTGTTTCTGTGAGTCTGCTTCTGTTTTATTTTGCTTGTTTATTTGTGTAGTTATTTTTAGATTCCACATATAAATGAAATCATAGGGTATTTGTCTTTGTCTTCGACTTAAGCATAGTGCCTTCTAGGTCCATACATGTTGTTGCAAATGGCAAGATTTCACTTTTTAAAAAAGATTTTATGTATTTACTTTTAGAGAGAGGAAGGGAGGGAGAAAGAGAAGGAGAGTAACATCAATGTGTGGTTGCCACTCGCGCGCCCCCTACTGGGGACCTGGCCTGCAACCCAGGTATGTGCCCTGACCAGGAAACGAACCGGCGACCCTTTAGTTCGCAGGCCGGTGCTCAGTGCATTGAGCCACACCAGCCAGGGCAAGATTTCATTTTTTATTGCTGAGTGAAATATTCTTTTGATTTTTTCAAGCATATAGAGATGTAAAGACCATTTTTAGCCTGCCAGCCCATACGAAATTAGATGGTGAACTGGATCTGATGGAAATGTTCTGTTCCTGAGCTGTCCAACACGGTAGCGCTAGTCACACTGAGCACTTGAAATGTGGTTAGTTTGACTGTGTGGACTTTTCACTATGTTTAATTTTAGTTAATTATTTTTTTGGTTTAATTTTTAAAATTGTGGTGAAATGCACACAGCATAAAATTTATATTTCACAATTTATTTTAATTGTGGTAGAATATACATAATATAAAATTTACCATTTTAGCTATTTTTAAGTGCACGGCTAATGCCATTCAGCCCAGTCACACTGTTGCGCAGCTTTCTCCATCATCTACCTCCAAACTTCCTCGTCTTCCCGAACCGAACCTCTGCCCCCATTAAACACTAACTCCCCCTCCCCCAGTCCTGGGCTCCCACCATCTACTCCCTGTTTCCATGAATCGGCCTCCTCTAGGGACCTCCTATGAGTGGGATCAGACAGTGCTTGTCTCTCTGCGTCTGGCTTGTTACACTGAACCTAATGTCCTCAAGGTTCATCCATGTTGCAGCGAGTGTCAGAATTTTCCTCCTTTTTAAGGCTAAATCATATTCCATGGGAGGGATGAACCACATTTTGTTTATCCACTCATCAGTTGATGGAAAATTTAAATACAAACAGTCATGTGTGGCTAGTGGTGGCTCCACGGCAGTTCAGCTCTAAAGGGATGACAGAATTTGCATCTCATCATCTGAGGTGCTTCTGTTATGCGAGGAGCAGCTGAGTCCTCGCCCGGCCCAGGGCCAGCCTTGCGCCCTTGCTCCCCACCCGCCGCTGGAAGACCTGCCTCTGTGGTCGCCCCTCACTCCAGGCCCTTCTTCTCAGCAGGACCCTCCTCCAGACCCTGTGCCCCTTGCAGCTGAGTTCTCTATAGAGACGTCTCTTCTCCTCTGTTGCCTCGGCTTCTGGAGAGAGTAAATAAGCTTTGGACTTCCACATCTTCTCTTTCTCTCTGCCTCACTGCCTTCAGGGGCTTCTTATCTGCCCCTGTGCCCTGGCTTCTCTGTGACAGCCTTCCTCCTTGACCACTGCCCCCTTGGCTTCTAGGTGTCTTGCTTTCCAATGTCTCTTTCTCCCCCACCTGCTCCATAAAGTCAATTCCCCCAAGCCTCTGACCACTGAATACATGATGTCCAGGTGGCTGCACCTATTTCTGCAGAACCACCACTCATGTGTACTTGACCTTCTGTTCCCATCTCTGGCCTTATCAGCATGACATCCTGGGCCACCACCCCTCTCCCTAATCTTTCCGCCAGAAATGAAAGGGCCATTGATGTAAGTGAGAAACAACGATCGGTTGCCTCCTGTACACTCCCTGATCAGGGATCGAACCCGCAACCTAGCTATGTGCCCTGGCTGGGAATTGAACTCGTAACTTTTTAGCTGTACGGGATGATGCTCCAACTAACTGAGATACCCAGCCAGAACCTTGGTGGGGGTCCACCTGCTCGCCTCTGTCTCACACACCGTGCGAGTGGACAAGTCCTGCCAAGTCTGCCTTCTCCTTTATGTGGCTTTCCTTCTATTTAGGCTTTTTCATGCTGTTTTCTTGGCCTGGGCTTTTTGGAAATCCTCCTAAATACAAATCATGTGGCCTCAAATCTTCCACTGCCTTTAGGATGAGGGGTGAACATCTTGGTATAACTTATGTATCTGGTTCCTAACCTTGCATTCTGACAACTCCACATGAATTCTGGGCATGGCGTCCACACCTTTGAATGCTCTGTTCCAAGCCCGTTCATATTTAGGTCCTCTTCCCTCCCCATCCCCCACAACAGTGAACTCCTATTCATCCTTCAAAACCCAGTTTGGGTATCAATTCCCCAGTGGAAACTTCCTAGGCATTTTCTCCTTGGGCGTCTCATGAGTACTCATCTCAAGCACCTTTGACAGGTGGCACCACAGTGTACAGTGTTCTGGGCTCTTCATCTCTCTTCCTCTGACCCCCACCCCTGCAGGCCGGCAACTAGCAACACAGGACAGACCTATTTTCCTTAATGTTGGATGAATCAGTGAGGGCAAATCTAACATTTTAATAAGAAGGAAGATAGCAATTCATAAAATGGTCACTTACCCTAGATACAGGGCTATGTTTTTATTGCAAGGATGTTTTATCAACTGTGGTTTCATAGATGAAAAATACAGGAGGTCCTAGAAAGATAGTCACAAAATCTTAATATCAATAATAATAAACACCTGATGAAAACAATATCCTAATGTGCAACATTGAACATGGAAAGCTGAGCCCTGGCTGGTGTTGCTCAGTGGACTGAGTGCCAGTTTGCAAACCAAAAGGTCACCGGTTTGATTCCCGGCCAGGGCGCGTGCCTGGGTGGCAACTGATCAATGTATCTCTTGCACATCAATGTTTCTCTCCCTTTCTTCCTCCTTCCCTATCTCTCTAAAATAAATTTAAAATGTTAAAAAAAATGTAAAGGTGAAACCTGAACTAAGCAAGTGGATTGTATCACTATCATTTCTCTGTTTTGATATTATACTCTGATTATATCAGGTATCACCAGTGGGTGAAAGGTACCTGGGACATCTCTAAACTGTTTTTTGCAACATGCTATCATTTTAAAATAAAGAGTGAAAAATGATTCACCGGCCAATTCATATCACATCTTATTTCATATATGTTATTGTTTCTTTACAGATTGTTAGTTATTAGAAAGAGAGGCAAGAAGACAAAAAATTAGAAAGCTAACAGGTTAGAAACCAGCCACTTTTGAGATTATTTAGAAATGCTGACACCTTTACTGAAATGATGCAATGTCAATAGATAACTTATTTTTTTTCTTTCATGCATTTTTTATTTTTTTAATTGAATTTTTTTGGTGACATTGGTTAATAAAATTATATAGGCTTCAGGTGTACAATTCTATAACACATCATTTGTGTATTGTATTATGGGTTCACCACCCCCATTTCTTCATGCATTTTAGGTACATATGGGGAGAAAGGAAGTTTCCTATTGCACTATGTCATGTAAGAAAAGTAACAGTTTGCCTCCCATGTTATTGTGGACTTAAAATCTCCTATGGAATAGAAGAACACTGGTGATCTAAGTTCTAAACCTACTTCTATGTCCTGGTTTAGTCCAGGTTACTTGATCTTTCAGTACTTTTTTTTAGTAAAACAGGGAAGATAAATCCCTTATTTCAAAGGGCAGTGGTAAGGATTAGATAATGTTCTATGCCTGACACAACACTGGTACTGCAATAATACTGGGAAATAGTCTTTACATTTTATTTTTGATTTTAGAGAGAAAGAGAGAGGAAATGAGAGAAACATTAATTTATTCCACTTATTGATGCATTCATTGGTTGATTCTTGTATGTGCTCTGACCAGGGATCAAACTCACAACCTTGGCATCTAGGGAAAATGCCCTAACCAATTGAACTACCCAGCCAGGGCCTCTGGGAAATAGCCTGATCCAGTAATTAGGTAAAATGAAGAATGAATGTTAAATATGGAGCCACGTACCTCTTGAGTTTTCTGTCCAGCATGAAGTGTCTTTCCTGTCCTCACCGTGCGAACACTAGAGGTAAGTGACGAGAGAGACCATCTGTTAATGTTTCTTGAATATTCAGCACGACTCATTCTGGGTTGCCTCTGGGTTAACTTTTAAGTACCTGTTCTTAATGCTTTTTCAGATTATAGGAGCCCCTGGAAAGTCTAATGAAACTGGAGGTCCTCTCCCACAAACAGACACATGGATATGCAGAAATGGAGATATTTTCAAGAGGTCATAAAGGCTCATTTTAGATCCCAAATTAGGAAGATTAGGAATTCCTACTTCAAGGTTTGTTTTTGTTTTGTTTTGTTTTCTTTTTCTTTTTTTTTCAGGGGGATGTTGGTGGCTCAGAGAACGTAGCTTCCATCAGAGTTTCTCGATCTTGGACATGCGCCATAAACACCTGGAGGGGTTAATAACCTGTGGATATCTGGGCTGCACCAGTAAATCCAGGGAACTGCAATTGTAACAAATTCCCAGGTCACGCTATTTCTATTGATTTAGGACCACACTTTAGCAAATAGGAGAATTAGATATAAATATTTTCAGATTTTGAGACAAGTCCTCCTAGTAAATCTTACTGGAAAATCCTACTCCCCACTTACTAGATATGTGTCTTTAGGCAAGCGTGTCTTTAATTTTCCTGTGTCTGTTTTCATATCCATAAACTCAGATTAAGGAATCACTACTCTCTGAACCTTGTTGTAAAGATTAAATGAGATCGAGATCGTGCACCGAAGCACACATTTACTATTTCATCAGCAAAGAGGGCCCTGCTAAATGTGACAGCTCACTCCTGGCAAGAGCTCCCTGAGGACAGGAACAGGTTTTTAGCATCTGTCTATCTTCTATGGCACCTTGCATAACCTCTGCTAATATAACATGTATTGAAACCTAATAATGTTCTGGGTATTGAGTGAATAAGATAAACACTATACTCTCATGAAACTAGTATTTCTAGTGACAGCAACAGCTAAGAAAAAAATTTGTCAAAAGGAAAGAATAACATAAGTTAGTGATTGATACTAAAAAGCAGCTGTGAAGAGGGGGCGTTACATAAGGAAACATGGCATTGAAGTTGGGATCTGATTAATGAGGAATACACCGTGGAAAGTCCTGAAAGCAAAGCGTGCCATCAGAGGGAATAGTATGCACTAAGTCTCACCCATCCCCAAAGCTGGACCCAGTCTGGCGTGTTCAAGGGATGAGGTGTCTGGAGCTGTGACTCAGTGGTGGGCAGGGGCCACATTGGTGGTTGTCAAATCCCCAGGGTACACTTGGCAATACCTAGAGACATTTTTGATTTATGGTCAAGCCTGGGGAAGTAGGTACTACTGGCATCTACAGCGTGGAGGCCAGGGACGCTGGTCAACATTCAACAAGGCATAGGATGGCCACACCCCAGAAAATGATCAGGCCCCAAAAGTCAGCACCGTTGTTGTTGAGAAACCCTGGGCTAGATCATGCGAGTAAATGCAGGCTGCTCAAGGAACTTGGGTTTTATTCTGGGTGCCGCAGAGAGCCAGGGAAGGGGCATGCCGAGATCAAAATCGTTTATCAATAATTCCTCTGGCTGCCAGGGTAGGGGCTGGAACGGAAGCTGTAGCCTAGGGGGATGGCAGTGGAAGTGAGTTGAAAGGTTTGGAATTGTGCCAAAGTTTTGAAGCGGCAATGGGAGGACTTGGTGATGAACTGGAGAGGTTGGGTGGGGTGAGAGAAAGGGAGGTATCAAGTCTGACTCCTAGAAGAGTCAACTGGGAAGCCTCGATGAGGTTGGGGAGCGAGGAGCATCTTTCCTGGATTCTGTCCTGGCCTCCACTCAGAAGAGCCAGCAACCCCCCTCCCGACTTCTAGCAGCACCCCAAGCCCGGGAGGGCGGCCCCACCGGCACAGGGGCTGAGCTCTGGCAAGCGGGAAGAGCTGCAACGTCCCAGCCGTGACTAGAATCAACAACAGCATCCGGTTAGGAGTGTCGCCGCCACCACTACCCCTCAACCGTCGCGGGGAGGCACTTCACAATCTGGGCATGCGCAGACTAGAGCCACGGGCTTCGGCGTGTCTGCCACGGAGTCTGAGCACGCGCACCTCGTCCCCCACGAAGCCCCAGTCCATCCACATGAGCACGCCCCATCTCAGCGCCCGGACCAGCGCGTCAGACACACGCGCCCGGGCTCCCTGGAATCTGAGCATGCGTTCCTTGTCTGCCCAACGGGACGTTAGAGGCTGGGCATGAGCACACGGCCGCAGGTGCGCCGTCTACAACTTGAGTATGGGCACAGCGTCTCCCAGGAAGCCCGAATCCGCCACCGAGACGCGCCTTAGAGCCTGAGCATGTGCTTGTTACTAGCACGACCTAAGCCTGGGTATGCATTTTCCCAGATCTTCACTTTCAGCAACAACACGTCCTCCACAATTCTTCGCGCTAGCTTCAGCGTGAATAGCCTTCAGCGCGCTAGTTTTTTAGCTGGAACAGGTGGATGCGATGAGGGATCTCGAACCACGCGCCCCTTTGCTCTCGTAGGCCCCGCCTCCACAGTGCTTTCCCGGGCCACGCCCCCGCAGGCACCCGGGCATGCTCCCGAAGTCACGTGCACACTAATTCGGTGAGCGGAAATGACGCAAGCTCTGAGCGCCCCCAGGATGGCCGGGCCATGGCGACGGGCACAGGCTACGTGCGGCTGTGGGGAGCTGCGCGGTGTTGGGCGCTGCGGCGGCCGCTCCTGGCTGTTGCGGGGGGGCGGGTCCCAGCTGTGGCTGGAGCGTGGTTGCCTAGAGGCCGGCGGGCCTGCGACACTTCTCCACTTTGGGCGCTGTGGGGTCGTGGTCCCGCAGCTGCGTGCCAATGGCGGGGGCTTTGGGAAGGGAACAACCGTGGCAGCAGCGGTGGCTCGTTCTCGGGCGGCGAGGATGCCCCTGAGGGCGGCGTGGAGGATGGCGCCGCGGGCGCGGGGGGCAGCGCGGGCGGCGGGGAAGGCCCCATCGTAACGGCGCTGACTCCTATGACCATCCCAGACGTGTTCCCTCACCTACCACTCATCGCTGTCACCCGCAACCCGGTATTCCCGCGCTTTATCAAGATTATCGAGGTAATGAGATCGCCTGCGTTGCCTCCGTTTCCCCACCTCTGCAAGCACCCTCATTTCTCGAAAGTTTTTCAGACACAAAATTTCTCAAAGGCAGGAGTTGGAATTCTCTGCTCATCACTGGCTTGCGGGACTGGAGCCAAATTCCTCCTCTTTAAGGGGAGTTGAACCCACTTCGAGTCCTAATCATAGGAATCCGTCTCTGAGAAGAAACAGAACAGTTTTTGGAAAAAGATTTTGTTCACTTATTTTTAGAGAGATGGAAAGGGAGGGAGAAAGAGAGGGAGAGAAACATCGATGTGCGAGAGGTACATAGACTGGTTTCCTTTCACAGGCCCCCAACCGGGGACCTGGCTCGCACCGCTGGCACGTGCTGGTGACCCTTTGGTTTACAGGCCGGTGTTCGGTCCACTGAGCCACACCAGCCAGGGCAAGAAACAGAACAGTTTTGAGGCCTAGTTACTTTCCTTCAGGTATTGATACGTGTTTTATAACCCTCTCTCCCCAGAGTGGTCTCTATTCTAGTTGAGAGCCCGTTTGGGATCAGGATTCATTCCTCTCTCAAATGTTTCTTGACGAGTTTCCATGTGTCAAGTTGGGTTCTAGCTGTTAAGGATACAGCAGTGAATGGGACAGACAAAAATTCCTACCTTTAGAGTTCACATTTTAGCGGGATGTGAGAAGCGAATAAACAAGGTTAGTAAGTAAAATATGTGTTGGAAGGCAATAATAGAGCAAGGGAAGGATGGTGCCATAGACTGAGGAGGAAGGTGGGAGAGGAATGTTCTTAGAAGGGTGCAGTTATGGTTGTTTTCACTCAGCAGAGTGTTCTTAATCTTCTTCCATGTAGCAGGTACTGAGGATACAGCAGCAAACAAGTCAAACATAGTCCCTGTGCCTAAGGAACTTATGTGCTGGTGGAAAGAGGCAGGAAACTAAGATCATTTCAGACTAAGAGCCCTAAAGGAAAGGGTGGGTGGGAAACTAGGGTGATGTAATAGAGAGAAAGCATTGTGAGTGCAAGGAACTTTAGTTTTTGGTGTAGGAAGGGCCTAAATGCCTCCCTCCTCCCCTTTTTTAAAAAATGATGTGGAAATGCGAGTCTAGAAGGAGAAAGTTTATCTTTTGACTGTCTAAGCAAGGTCATACAATGAGTCAGCCTCTCCATTTACCCTGCAGCTTTACCCCCCAACCCCCAACTCCAGTTCCTGCTAAGTAAACCTCAGGGATGCCTTGGAAAGGGACAGGACAGTACAGAGGGACAGCAGCCAGCCCGTGGGGAGGTGACAGAAGCCGCCCCCCCCGCCCCCCCGTTCTGCACTGCTGATGGTTTGTCTGAGCTGTCCTTCCAAGGGCCTTCCTTGATGCTGAGTGGTGGTGGTTCGGGGGCCGCAGGGTAAAGACCCTATGGCTGGCTGCGCTGTTCCTGGCTCTAACCTTGGGCAGGCTGTTGCTCTGGGCCTCCATTTTCTTATCTGTGGAATGGACATAATAATAGTGCTTTCTTTCTTAAAGCCATTGTGGGAGATAAAAGAGGGCCCCCCTAAAGGAGTCAGAATGGTGCCTGGTGCTTAGTGTGCCGCAGCAGGAAGCAGCTGCATCTGTTGTTTCCTACGTGGGGCTCTTCTGATATTTCAGAAGCCTGCCCTGGAGACCTCCTTCCCACCTTTGACCCCACCCTCAGCAGCCTCTTTATCCTCCCGGGCCTCTGGGGCCAGGACTGTTCACCAGGTGTCCCCTCAGCCCAACAAAGTGGCAGATGCCCCTATCCCCAGTGCCCAAGCAGAGATAATGGTTCTCCTAAGAGATGCTGTGTGTGCAGCTGGGGCTAGCCAGGAGGGTTCAGTGAGTCGCTGTGGGTAGCATGAGACTGGCATGTGATACTATTTCTAGTGCTGTTACCTTGTAAGTAGTGAAAAGGGATCCTGTCAAAGGAAGGGGAGGTGCTGAGACGCATCAGTCAGCTGTTAGCAGAGGAGAAATGAGGAAAACTTCTGTGGACCCAATAAATGTTTCTGAACTTGTTAACCAAACTCTATTTACTCTTGATTTTGTAGCTGACTGCATGGGGCTAACCAGTCCCGATAGGTTCTCTTCTTATCAGTGGCTTTTTATTTTTGGGTCCTGTGCCTTCCTGATGGCTGCCATGGACTTCCCCCTGGGAAAAATGCATCTAGAGTGTCGGGAATTCCCAGACCATAAGTTAGTAGCTGCTGTTAGGGGCTGAGTTAAAGCACCGGTTCTCAAAACATGGCGCTTGGACCAGCAGCATCACCTGGGAGCTTGTTTGGAATGCAAATTCTCGGGCCCTCTTTAGACCTGTATCAGAAACTGCAGGGGTGGGGTCCGGCCATGTTCCGAGTCCTCCAGGTTATTCTGATGCATGCTGAAGTCTGAGAGCTGTTACGTTTAGTTAGAATCTGGTCTGGGAGGTAACACAAACTTCAGAGAAGCCTTTTGAGCTCTAAAGACGTCTGTGCACCATGCACCCCCATCAGCTGTTTCTTTGGAGACACCATTAACCCTCTATCTGCCATTGAAATGACACGAAGCTAACATGCCGTGATCCTAGGGGTTTCAATGATCAATAAGTACGAAAGAGATGTGCTTGGGAAATACTCTCAGTGCAAATTAGAGGATCTTACGAGCCTGGGGGCGGGGGGCGGCCACAGTTGAATTACACACATTTAATATCGTTCTCCTTACATTGATGAAATCGAAAGGGTTTAGATTTTCAAGCCCATATATATTGCCACTGAAACAGCTCTTAAAATCGAACCTTAAATTAATTTCTCAGTTCTGGCCATTTGTCTACTTTGACTTTTCTTTAGGAAGTGGGGGAGCTACTGAGGAATGGAGCTGGTTAACCCTCTGCCACTCTATGCTCCATATACCTGTCTTTCATTTGTTTATTACTATTTTACTGCATTTTTCCACTACCATTTATCCTTCCTGGCCCCTCCTTCACCACCACCCCTGCATTCATCACGCTGTTGTCCGTGTCCATGAGTCCTTTCTCTTGTTTTCCTCAGCCCCTCCAGTCCCCCTCTTTTGTTTGTTTTTGGTTCAGGAGTTCCTGGACAAGGTGGGTTAGTGTCCTGGATCAGATTAGCATGTTCCCAGAGGATAATAGAGAAAATGTCAGAGCTGCTGTCAAAATGTCATCTAGATAATAGACCCTGCGTTTCACTTTGGGGTCATTGTCATGCTAGGTTAAAAATAAGAAGTTGGTTGAGCTGCTAAGAAGGAAAGTCCGTCTTGCCCAGCCATATGCCGGTGTCTTTCTAAAGAGAGATGACACGTAAGTGTAATTTTTCCTTCACTCCTTTGCTGAAGTTGCCCTGAGTGTAGCTCACCACCTGCCCTGCTCCCGAGATTAGCCCGGACCTTTAAATCTTGACCTGAAAGAAATCAAGCAAAGCCTTTAGAGGACTGGGCCAAGAGCTGAGTATCGCTTTCTAGTTTGGAATGAAGGCTTGGCTTGCAGTGCTGGACTTCATTCATTGTCAGAAGGTGGGAGGGAAATTAATCTCAAGGATCCTTGGTGTTAGACCATGACACACCTGCGAGGCCAGAGCTAAATGGGCAGGCATCACAGCTTTGGGTACGTCCACCTTGACGTCAGTTAGAAATGAGCTCCACTTCCGAGCTAGAAGGGGTGTCCTGAGCAGGGCCGGTCATGGGATTGTGACATGAAATCAGAATTCCATTGGGGCTGCCTCACGACGAACTCGGCCAGGAGCCACTCACCTGTGCAGAGTCCCCACTGTGTTCCTTAGCTGGTGCCAGAGCCCCTGTGGGAGCAAGGTGGTCGTTTTTGGTTTTCAGTCCAGACTGGCTGGAGAGTTTCATCTCTGCCTCCCAGCCTGAGGTACCCCATGGGAATCAGTGCCTGTGCCGATGTTCCTTTTGTCTTTCTCCCCCAGTAATGAGTCTGACGTAGTCGAGAGCTTGGACGAGGTCTACCACACAGGGACATTTGTCCAGATCCACGAGATGCAGGACCTCGGGGACAAGCTGCGCATGATCGTCATGGGACACAGAAGGTTCGGGGGCCCGAGCGTGTGGGGCGGTGGCGGGTGTGGCGGTTCCGAGTGCACCCAGGTCCCAGCACTGACCCGCTTTGGTAGCCAGCCCTGTGGCCCGGTCACTGCAGTGACCTAAGCAGGACAGAGCTGGGGGCGGGGGCCGAGACACATCCTCTTTGGAACCCTCCTCCTCAGAGTCCTCTCATTAAAGTGGTAGTGTGTGTGGTCAGCGAGCAGTCCTTTCTTTAACGCATGTCATTCGGAAAAGCACCACGAAAACACAGTGGCAGGTCGCCTTGTGTCTCCTGTCTGGGTGTCGGCTGTTCAGTGGGGCCTGCTGTTCCTTCAAGTGTCGCGTCTGTGTTTGCCCACAGATCAGGCTGTATCGCCATTCTTAGCAGTGTGTAGGTTTTCACTCAGGCACATTTCCTTGGCAGTCTCTGATAAAAATCTGTCGAAAGACTGCATACGTTTGTAAGCCCTTGTACTGTCATGAATAATAAAGAAAAATCTGCAACATCAGCTTAGGGTTGAAGCCCTCAATAGAGAAACTAACTGGTTTTTCAAATGTGTTTCAAGGAACATTCGTCCTCTGAGATGCTTCACCAGAGTCCTGTGACCAAATTACACGAAAAACATGTCAGAGTAGAAGCTGTTAATGTGTTGAAGATGTAGTGAATGTTCCGAAAAGCCCCTCATTGGAGACGCTTGACCGTGTTTGTTGAACTGAGAGTCTTCCATCCATTTTTCTCAGAGCCTTTTTCTGTGTCAGCCGGGCAGCACCGCCAGAACTCGGGGGAAGGGCCGGTGCTGGGGGCCCTAATTTCCAGGCGGCCCTGGGTGCGGTGCCTGCACCGAGCCCCCACGCCCCTTCCGCTGTTCCCGCTAGAGTCTGTTTTAGGGAAGAGGCTGCGCTTCTGTGTCCGGGACAGACTTGTGAGCCAGAGGAGCAGAGTGAGGTGCAGCCAGAGTTAATAAAAACAGTGGTGGCCGCCAGCTGCCCCGCCAGCCTGTGAGGTTCCTGCAGGATGACCCCTGCTGACTCCTGAGGCCAGGCCCACAGGGGACTTGCCGAGGCCCCGCCTCCTTTCCTCTGTGCACCTTGCTGATGACAGCTGGGCGCCAAGGCCACGTCTGTAGTGGCTGTCAGGCCCTCCCCCTGAGGAAGGCACTGTTGATACTTACCTGTGTGACAGAGGAGAGCTGGGAGGTGGAACACGTGACTTAGCACTTGAAGTCTGCTGTTGGCCAGGCCCTTGGGTGTAAGTAGAGAGGCAGGTTAGGGGCCGCCTTGGGCAGCACCCCCGAAGTGGGGAGGACACCAGGGACATGAAAATGGGTCACAAGCTGAATTCAGACTGTGGTGGATGCCTTGGGAGGGGAATGAACATGGACAGGGTGACGGCTGTGTGCGTGGCCTGGGTCTGGCCTCTCCGGGGAGGCGCCTTCGAGTCAAGATCTGACCCCCGGGAGGGAGCAGCTCTGTGGTGAGCTCCAGGGCGAGGGAGGGGCAGGCAGAGTCCCAGAGATGGGCCCTGCCGAGCTGGGCGTTCACGATTGTCCCCAGAACTGGTTACCACCGCCTTATCCATCAGTTTGTGGGGGACAGCAGGGCATTGGTGTGGCAGTGGAATGGAGGGGTCTGATGGAGTCCAAGGCCAGAGGGGACACTGGTCTTGGGGCTCCGGGAAAGTGGCCTGGACCCGGCCCGCACCCTTAGTTTTCAGCACCGGGGGGCCTTGCCAGGGCAGGGCTCCTCCCATCCTCAGCGGCTTTACCTCCCCTTGCTCCCGGCTTCAGGATTCACATCAGCAGACAGCTGGAGGTGGAGCCGGAGGATGCCGAGGCCGAGAACAAGCAGAAGCCACGCCGGAAGCCCAAGCGGAGCAAGAAGGAGGCGGAGGAGGATCCCAGTGCCCGGCGCCAGATGGAGGTGGTGGTAGAGCCCAACTCGGGTGCCCCTGGCGAGGTGCTCATGGTGGAAGTTGAAAACGTCATCCATGAGGACTTCCAGGTCACAGAAGAAGTGAAGGTGAGTCAGCGTTCCTGAGCAAATGTCGCTCAGTAAGGGTCTTGCCTGTTGCAGCACTCACATTGTTTTAGAGCGCAAAATACACTTTTCCTCCCAAAAGTCCTTGGGAGAAACGGGGGTGAGAAAGGTAAAGAAAATCCACTGGGGCTGTTAGCTGCTCTCAAAGGAGGTCAAGTATGAACCTGGGATCAACCCCAGCCTGCGTTCTCGGGGCAGGTGCCTCCAGCCGTACCCCGAAGCCTGGAGCAGGAGGAGGAGAAGCAGGGCACGTTCTCCGGGACTCTGGGCTTTGAGGCAGGACCGAAGCAGCCTCTGACCACCTTGGCCCCCAGACCTAGGCTGACCTGCCTTCCTCATGCAGGCCGGCTGCCGAGGTGGTGGTGGGAGTGTCCTCCCGCCCGTTCTCCTAGTGCAGGCCCTAGACGGGGTGACCTGCCTCCAGCGGGGAGGGCCATAGCTGATCTCTTCGGTCTGATCCTGAGGCACTGTGCTGAGAGGGATTCTGGGGCAGCTTCCGAGCTCTGTGGGAAGGAGTACTGTGACGGGTGATGATGTCTCCTTCGGGTGCTGGAAGGGGCGTGGTTGCATATGCCACTAGCCTGTATGAGCGGTCCACAGGGTCGTGTGGGGCCCTCCTGAGCAGTGCTGTTTGGGAGAACTTTCCATGGTGGTGGGAAATTCTGTAATTCTGCACCATTAGCCACCCGTGGCTGTTAAGAAGTTTACCTATGGCTGGTGCGACTGAGGAACAGTGTCTGATTGATTTAAATGTCAATAGCTACCAGTGGCTAGTAGCTGCTGCACTGGGCAGCACAGCTTCAGAGTTTCCCGTGAGGATCTTGTACCAGGGGAAAGACAAACACGTAGATGGTATGGTGAGAAGAATTGAGGACCTTGGAGAGACAGCGCACACTCATGCTTGCTCACGCAAGTACCATGGACCTCCAGCTGGCTATGCCGGTTCCTTCTGGAAAGATACCCTCAGGTGATTCGGGGACAGACCCAATAATAGAGACCAGGTGATTATACTGGAAAACCCTGGCAATTGTGGCTTCTTGCATCATGCCTGCTAGTGCCCTCTTTGGAGCACAGTATGCTGGGAACCGTGGCCTTCTGGAAACAAATGAGGGTGGGTTCATATGTCATAAACTGCCTGGTGGTCCTGCCGGGAGCAAGACCAGCCTCACTGTGGCAGGGAACGAAGGCAAGAAGGAAAGCAGGGCCCATGGTGTCCAGAGCAGAGGGCCCCTACCTCTGCAGGAGGCGAGGGCAGGGATCCAGGAGGGGACAGCCTGAGAGCCCTGGTGACTCACAGGCAGGTCCCAGACAAGAGAAGTCACAACCTGGATGTTTTTGTGGCTGAGGCTAAGGAGCGTCAGTTCTGAGGATAGTGCTTAAAATAAAGGGATAAAGAAGCTCCTTTCCCCTCCTCCCCATTTTTTTCTCTCCAAAATGCCTCATTCTAAGGTCAGAGTTGTGTAAGGAGACAGGGTTGGTTTCCGTTTTGCTTGCTTGGTCTTGTGTCCCCATGACTGGTGAATTCAGGCACTGCTCCTGGGCCTCTGAGGCTGACCTTGGCCAGGGCCAGGTGGGAGGGGCTCCCTGGGGCCACAGAAGGGGGCCCCCCTCCGGCCCCAGTGACCGACGGCAGCCTTCTCTCTTGCCAGGCCCTGACTGCTGAGATTGTGAAGACCATCCGGGACATCATTGCCTTGAACCCGCTCTACAGGTCGGTGTCTGGTGGCCAGCCCTTCCTGTGGCCGGTCGGGGGGAGGGGGGGCTCTCTGTGGTGCCTGGGTTGGCAGAGATTTTCCACAAGGATATCCTCGTAGAAAACCTTGTGGGGGCAGGAGTTCAAGGGCCTGGATCCAGTCCTGTGCAGGCGGAGCCTCTTCCCTCCTAACAGGGAGACCTTGGGGTGGGGACAGTTTACCTGGTCGAGGTTCTTTACCTCTTTCCTGCGAACAAGGTCCTGGATTTGGCATGAAGGCTCTGTCATCAGCTGGAGTGGAGGGGGACTCTCATGAGGAGTTAACGCATAGCTGCTGGAGGGGGCTTGCGTCTGGGCTCAGGGACGTTAGTTTCATGACTCTGGGCAGGAGGCCCCACTGGTGCTGAAGCTGGCGAGGCCCAGAGGCAGCGCTGGCCCTTGATGCTGCTGGGGACACGGAGCCAAGTCCAGCAGGAGTGAAGTCGCAGCTGCTGCCATGGTCTTCATGCCCCATGAAAGCGCCCCTCTATCCCTTCTAGAGAGTCTGTGCTGCAGATGATGCAGGCAGGCCAGAGGGTGGTGGACAACCCCATCTACCTGAGCGACATGGGTGCCGCGCTGACCGGAGCCGAGTCCCACGAGCTGCAGGACGTCCTGGAGGAAACCAATGTGAGTGCGGCCTGTCTACATGTGCACTGTGCTGGCCCTGTTCTACACGCTGGGCTGCTTCCCTGCCTGGCTGGAGTCCTCAGCTCTGTTTTGAGACGATTCCACATCAGCACATGTCCTTCAGTCCACATTCAGCTCCCTCGGTCTTTTTAACGTCTGCGTAGTAATCCATCAGGTGGTGTCCATCATTTAGTGGGTGGCATGTTTGGGTTGTCGCCATTCTCTTGCTATTACAACAGTTTACAAACATCCTGGTCCACACGGCTTGTAGAGCTGCCAGAGTTTATCTGTAGATGTTTCCAGAGCTGGGCTCGTTGGAACGGGGTGCATGCCTCTTTTTAGTAAGGTGTGGTGGCGATCTGTCCCAGTGTGGACGCCCTCCAGCAACAGCTTGTAGGGTGCCTCTTCCCCTTCCAACCCCCATCCCAGGAGAGGTGGGCACCAACTTCTTTTTGTTTTCATCTTTTTTGTTTTTAAAATTTTAGAAGGGAGGGACAGGGAGAGAAAAAGGAAAACATCAATTTGTTGTTCCACTTATTTATGTATTCGTTGGTTGATTCTTTTCTTTTAAAGGACTTTATTTTTAGAAAGAAAGGGATAGAAACGTCAGTGTGAGAAATATCAATCGGCTGCTTCTCATATGTGCCCCAAACTGGCAACCTTTGGCTTTGCAGGATGGGGTCTAACCAACTTAGCCACAGGGGTCAGGGTTCATTGGTTGATTCTTGCATGTTCCGTGGCCGGGATTGAACCTGCAACCTTGGTGTATTGGGACGATGCTCTAACCAACTGAGAAGCTACCTGGCCAGGGCTGGACACTGACTTCTGATTGTCCTCTCATGCCTTCCCTTTTTTGGCAGATTCCCAAGCGTCTGTATAAGGCCCTGTCCCTCCTCAAGAAGGAGTTTGAGCTGAGCAAACTGCAGCAGCGCCTGGGGCGGGAGGTAAGTGGGGTCGGGGCAGGCCCGGGCTGAGAAGGCACCTATGGCCCGTAGGCTGCGTGCACTCAGGCTGTGAAAGGCATTAGGTTAAAACGAAACTGATCCCAGCACCTGAACCCAGGGAGGTCGGTCTCCATCTGACTGACCTCCAAGGGGGAGGAGTTCTCTGCCTTTTGAGTCCTGGGGAAAATGCTTGAAATTGGGAACCAGTCCGGGAAAGGTTGCAAAGCCGTTTGCCAAGACTCAACTGTTTGAAGCTCACCTTCCCAATTTTGGGCAAATCCGCGGACTGCCTGGAGCATCAGTTACTTAAAAGTCATGTCGTTTCCCAGGCATGCCTCAATTTTTCAGTTAGGTTTTATTTTAGAAAAAAATTTCACATTGCATCTTTAATTGGAAAGCCTATGATGCATTATTAATACACGACCACTTGCAGGGTAAGGCCTGCGGGGCCTGGGCTGTGCCCTGCTGCCGACTGATCAGGAGTGTGGGAGGCATGCTGGCGTCGGGCCGAGCATTCAGGATGGAAAAGCGAATTCTTTTATTATCGTCGTTTATTTCGAGGTCCACGCTCGGGGATGCTTTGATGAAGATGGAAGGAATTGGAGGCTGCATTTACTGGGTTTCCTTTTCTGCATCCTGAGGAAGCAGCAGCCCCGCTGGCCCTTGTTGGCCTGTGGATGCCCTGTGTGTTGTCTGGTCTGACGGCTGCTTCTCGGCCTTGCAGGTGGAAGAGAAAATCAAGCAGACACACCGCAAGTACCTCCTGCAAGAGCAGCTGAAGATCATCAAGAAGGAACTGGGCCTGGAGAAGGAGGACAAAGACGCCATTGAGGAGAAGTTCCGGGAGCGGCTGAAAGAGCTTGTGGTCCCCAAGCATGTCATGGACGTTGTGGATGAGGAGCTGAGCAAGCTGGGCCTGCTAGATAACCACTCCTCGGAGTTCAAGTGAGCACCTGGAGGCGGCAGTGCAGTGTCTCGGTCACATCGGTCCTCAGAAAAGCTTGTGCCCTGGCAGGGTCTGAGATGCCAACCCTGAAAGCCAAGAGGGTGTGGGCACTTCCTGTACTAGGCAGCACTCGATGTGTGCCAGCCCTCCTGTCACCCTGTGCGAACCTGCCTTTGTCACCCCTGTTTCACAGATGAAGAAATCAGGGCTAAGGGAAGTTAAGTCAGTGACCAGGGCCTCGGAGCAGATTAGGTGGGGACAGGGATTTGAGGACCCAGGGATGTATGGTTCTAAGCCAGTGCTTCCAGCCAGTACCAGAAGTCCCTGCGCCATCACCCCAAGGCCATCCTCTCCCCCTGGCTTCTGTCACCTCGCCCCCCTCTTGCTGCTGTGAGAGTCAGCCAGGAAGTGAGAGTGTCTAGGGCTGGGCCCTTGCCACACAGGGACCCTGGGAGACGCCCAGCTTCTCTTCCTCAGTGAGTGAGCTGCTCATGCTGCTGTCGCAAGTGTGTAAACCAGGGCCTTCAAACGGCATTGGCTAATCTTACAGGCACTCTCATAAGGACCCTTGTGAAGGGTCTCTCCTGGGCCCAGGTGGCTACTGTCCCTGGTGCACAGCTCCCAGCCCAGGGGTCACCCTCTTGGCACTGCCTACCTGCCACCATCCAGGCCTCAGTGTCCCCACTTGCCCTGAGTCAGGCTGCCTCTCCTGTTCTAGAAACCTCCATGCCTTCCGTAGTGTCGTACCCGGAGCAGCCCCCGTGCCTGCTGTGTCTCTGGTCTAGGAAACGGGCCTGGCACTGGTGCCAGGAACCAGGCCACTTCCCGGATGTGGCTTATGCCAAGATGGCTTTCCAAAGTTGTAACAGCCTCCCAGCCAAGGTTTACTTGTAGAGTTCACGCTTCAGGCTGATAGGGCACCGGCCACGTGAATGTTTAACAGCAGGGGCCAGGTGGCTCACTGGGCCCCACTCACCGCTCTGGTCTGTCCTGTGGCAGCGTCACCCGCAACTACCTGGACTGGCTGACATCCATCCCCTGGGGCAAGTCCAGTGATGAGAACCTGGACCTGGCCCGGGCCCAGGCAGTGCTGGAGGAGGACCACTATGGGATGGAGGACGTCAAGAAGCGCATCCTGGTGAGGCTGCCTGTACCCCTCTTGCGAGCCTGGGAGTCCTCGGCATAAGCCGGCCTGACCCTATGCTGGGCCCCACACTCCCTCATCCCAAGCACGTGGCCATCGCTCTCAGGACAGGTGCCGAGAGGCGTGGTCTGTAATGGTCCGGATTGGCATGTGGGTCGGTGGTGGATGGACACCTCAGGCCTGCGGCCCAGGATCCCCCCACCCTGTGCTGCGGGGAGACCCAGAGGAGAACCCTGGTGAATGTGTGGGTCCGGGGTGTGAAGGGGCTCGAAGGCGAGGGCCCGAGGGCCCTCACCAGAGGTGTTGGATTGGCTCAGAGGGGTCACAGCTGCCCGAGTTGGCCTGTCCTGCGTCAGGGGCTCAGAGATATGCAAAGGAGAGAAGACGGGCCTAGCTGAGGGCAGTGGGGAGTGGCCAGACTGGAGGAGAGAGAAGAAGCTGTGGTGACCCCGGGTGTGGAAGAAAAGGGCCTGTTCAGCGGGGGAGCCGACGGATGGGCCTGTGCTCTGGTCACCCGTAGTTGATTGTCAGGCGCCCGTGTTCTGGCACCTGCTCGTCTTCTTGGTGCCATATGCTGTCCCTTCCTGTGACAAATGATACCTGCAGTCAGCTTGGTCCTTCCAGGACAGGCTTGTCCCTTCTCCCAGCCCCCAGAACCTAAAGGTGCAAGAAGGCGGCCAGCCTCACGGGAGGCACAGCCACTGCTCTCCAGAAAGGCGGCCAGTGACTGACTGTCTCACGGGGGCCTCTGCCTGCAGGAGTTCATTGCCGTCAGTCAGCTCCGAGGCTCGACCCAGGGCAAGATCCTCTGTTTCTACGGCCCCCCTGGTGTGGGCAAGACCAGCATCGCCCGTTCCATCGCCCGCGCCCTGAACCGCGAGTACTTCCGCTTCAGTGTCGGGGGCATGACCGATGTGGCCGAGATCAAGGGGCACAGGTAGGCCCGGCCTCTCCTCGCCTGGTTCGCCCCAGCCTCCTGGGTCTGCTCCTACCTTTGTTAGAGCAATTTTGGTGCTAAGTAGTGAACTCCACTCACACTGGAGTAACTGAAGAGTTGAGGCATTGATCTAACTTCAGGCTCAGCTTAATGCAGGCGCTCGAACAACATTGGGTCACAATCTTAACCTCTTAGGGAGGGCCTGTCAGCAGGGTCTGTGTGTCGCGCCCCCGACTCCCCAGCACTCCTGCCAGAGCCCCGGGGCCGGGCTTGCCTTTCTGCCTGGGTCACCTGACTGGTGACCGTGAACTGGAGTGACTGGCCCCATGTGGCACCCTTCTTTGGGACATTGAAGAAACTGTGTTCCCCTGGGGCTTCCTGCCATGCTGCCCCCCACAGAGGTTCTTTAGAAAAGTGTAAACTCCTAGAGACACAAGAATCTGCACTCAGTTGCCCACAGTGTCCAAAGGTGGGGTCGGGAGGTGGAATGGAGAGGGTGGTACTGTCACACACTGTCCTTTGCCTCATGGCTGATGGTCACGTGATCTCCGCAGACCACCCATAGGATTTCCCAGCCTCCCTGGTACCTGGCCGCATGACCTTCCACCCACCCCCAAAACTCTGGCAAACTAGTGTTCAAGGGAGATTTGAGTCTGTGTTAAAAGTTATATTTCTGTTGTGTTTAAAAACACGAATGCCTTTGGTCGCCTGTTGGGCAGGGCGCGATCACCCACTTGGGTGTGGCCCCTGTAGTCTCTCACTGTCTCGTGCCCCCGGGCAGGTGGACAGTCTCCCGACCTCCCTTGCCCAGAGTCGGATGTGACCTCCAGGCGGGGTCAGGGAGGAACAGGGCCCACACACCATCGGGTACAGGGTCATGGACAGGGCTCCAGGCTGGGATGGCACAGGAGTCCCTGGGGGGCCCGCTTTGAACTGGGAGGGGCACAGGGAGCTGGAGATGGGTGGGGCCTTGGAGCTGGGTGAGCGGAAGGAAGAAGGCCGGGGAAGGCACGAGAGAAGGCAGAGGTGACCCTGGGAGCCCCTGCGCCCTATCAGGGATCGCCCAGGAGCTGCGGGTAAGGCCGGCTCCCCGGGGCTCCCCGGGCTCCCCGGGCTGAGAGAAGGCCCAGGTGCGTTTCCGAACATGCGCAGGCTGTCTGCAACACGGGGGTGTCACTGGGAGAGAGGCCTAGAAGGATCGGCAGGCAGGTACTCTGCTGACACTGGTCTGGGATTCCAAGCTAAGGACAAGGATGGGGGACGAACTGACCACTGTTACATTGAGAACTGCCAAGCCTTCCTTAGCCCACAGTCCTCTAGAGCCCCTTGCCAAGCTTCCTCAGGGTAAAAGCCCAAGTCCTCCCCTTGGCCCACATGGCACTGGGTGACTTGTCCCTGTCCCCTTGCCACCCTCACCCTCTTCTCTCAACCCGGGCTCACTCTGCTCCAGCCACAGGGCCTCCTCACTGTTTCTTCAGCGTGCCCTGCAGGTTCTGCCCCAGGGCCTTTGTACGGGCTGTTCGCCTATTTAGAAAACCCTCTTTCTCCAAATATCCACACAGCTTGCCTCCTTACTTCCTTTGCTCAGGGCCTCTCCCTAAGACATTTTTTATCCTCACTTTAAAATACTGCCTCCCCCGCCCCTCCCTCAAGTGTTGTTCCAGATTCTTCATCCCTGCTTTTTCCTTCAGAGCACATACATCAGTTTTTGAACTTCATGACTTCCTCCTCTGCCTTGTTTATGGTCTGCCCTGCTAGGCGTTAGCTCAGCAGCACAGGAATTGTGTCTGGTTTGCTCCCTGCAAATGTCACGTGTCTGTAGTCGAGCTGGGGCACAGCAAGTGGATTGAAACAAAGTGCCAGCTGGGCCAGGCCCTGCCCAGCAACCCCGAAGCCTTATGGGCCCTGCCTGCTGTCCCTCAGAACCCAGGCATCGGGGATGTTCCTGCTGCCAGTGCCTGGCTGGTCTTGGCTCCTCTTTTTCTGTTGGGTTTCACTGGATATGAGGTGCCGACTGGGGGGATGGGTCTGAGTTAGACATGGCTGTGAATCTGTGATCTGTGTCCCCCGCCCTGAATTGGAGCTGGGGGAGGAGGTTGGGGTGACCAAGTGCCCTGCAGATCGCGTGGCTGGAAGCAGCCATCATTTTTCCCCTGAGGGCACATGGCCATGGCACAGTGAGGTCCTGGATCTCTAAGGGTGCTGGGCCTGGGAGGGCTTGTGTGGTCAGCCCCCAGTGGGTGGTGCTGACTGCCCAGCTGTGCCCTCTTCCCCAGGCGGACATATGTGGGCGCCATGCCAGGAAAGATCATCCAGTGTCTGAAGAAGACCAAGACGGAGAACCCCCTGATCCTGATTGATGAGGTTCGTGCAGGCCCAGGAGGGCTGGGCTGCGGCTGGGCTTCCCTGAGGTCAGACATGGTCCGCTGGGCCTTCCTAGGCCAGAGCTCCTGGCAGCCCTGACCAGGCAGACTCTGTACAAAACAAAATCCTTGGTCCCTGAGTCACTATGGGTGGCCTCGCTGCAGCAAGGCGATCTCATGACACGGGCACCCCTCCTGTCCTGGAGGACTCTGTGTCTGCCCTCAGCCATGCTGTGAGGCCAACTCTCCTGTCCTTGGTCAGGACTCCCCCAGTTCTGGCTCTCTATGCTGGTGGGGTCTGGGCCTGCGTGGTCCCCCCGACTCTGGTGAACAGGTGCAAGGAGCAGGACAAGGTGCCAACATCATTTGCCTGCTGGTGCCGTTGCAGGTGGATAAGATTGGTCGGGGTTACCAGGGGGACCCCTCGTCAGCACTGCTTGAGTTGCTGGACCCTGAGCAGAATGCCAACTTCCTAGACCACTACCTGGACGTGCCTGTGGACTTATCCAAGGTGCGTGTCCTGCCTGCCTGGGGTCCGACCGGGATGGGAGAGGTGGGGTGGCCAGTCCTTCAGCACCTTGCCACCTGTCCTCCAGGTGCTGTTCATCTGCACGGCCAACATCACCGAGACCATCCCAGAGCCACTGAGGGACCGGATGGAGATGATCAACGTGTCGGGCTACGTGGCCCAGGAGAAGCTCGCCATTGCAGAGGTGAGGCCAGCCGCCCGTCCATTCAAGCCCTAGGGAGGCGTGCCCCACTGTGGCTCAGGCTCAAGGAACATCCAAGCGCTCGCTGAGTGCTGGGCGCAGTCAGAATTGGGGATGTGGTCCACAATGACTCTGGTCTTGGAGCTCCCATTCCAGGAGGAGCAGACAGGGGGAATATCTGGTCCTCTCTGTGGTGTATGTAGTGTGAGGTGTGGCCAAAAGAGACAGGAGGCCTGTTGTAAACTGTAATGTCACACTTCAGACACTGAGTGTTGGGTGTTGCCAGTTCTCTGGCTGGGTGTCCTGCAATTCATTTAGATTGTGACACCACCCGGGGTTAGCAGCAGACCTTACAGGTTCAGGTCGCATCCCCTAGAACTGCCCCAGCTTCAGATGCCGCTTACAAGTCTAGGCCTCTATCGCTCTGGCTGTAAACCAGGGTTCTTACACCTCACCCCACCCCAGGTTTGATAGTTTGCTAGAGCAGCTGACAGAGCTCAGGAAAACAGTTTAGTTACTATATACTGGTTTAGCATAAAGGATATCCCTTGGGAACAGCCCAAAAAGAGACAGAGGACGAGGCCCCAAGGGGAGTCTTTTATTTCCATCGTGGCGTTTTCTTTCCGGAGAGGGGTTTCTCCCCCTCGATGCCTGTGTAGCCATGAGATGGGCAGGGAGCCCATCCCGGGCAGGGGGCTCATGGCCGAGGTGGTGGCCGGTGTGCGGGACTCCCCGCCATGCTAGTCCTCCATCCACCGCCACTCACCTGGGCGAAGGGTGGACCCGCTCAGATCTGGGCAGGGACGGCTTTCAAACCCCTGAAGGGATGACAGGAGAGACATGAGGGCTCCTCGGGCCTCCAGGGCCAACCCGTGTCATTTGGCTGTCTGCCATGGAGAGCTCAGGACGGTCTGTCCTGTGACTGCTGTCCATCAGCAGTTGTGCTGGGCTGTGGGTGACTGTGGGCCTCTGCTCCCTGCTCAGGGCAGCAACCACACCTGACATGCATGCCCTTGGTCTGTATGTGGGGTCAGCCCAGGGATCAGGGAGGCCTTCCTGGAGGAAGTGTCATCTGAGAGGACACCTGAAGGGAGTACAGGAATTGGACCTGGGCAGAGGATGCAGCAGGAGCAGGGGTGGCTGGCTGGAGGTCTCTAGGTCATTCAGGGTCCTGGCACCCACAGGGCTCTGCCCAGATACTCCACCACCACCCTTCCAAGCCTTGCTGGCTCCTTACTCTCTAGGTGACATCCTTTGGCCTGCCCTGATACCCTGTGTACATTGGATGGCACTGTCTACAGGGACCAGAGCTCTGTGAAGGCAGGCCCTGGGCCCACCTCCGTGCTCTTTACCAGCCAGGGGTGGTGTGGCTGGGTGGCGGGCCCTGGACCCTGGAGCCTGGGGGTGGGGAGGGTCCCAGGAGGTTCCTGACAGAGCTCTCCTCCCCGCCAGCGGTACCTGGTCCCCCAGGCCCGTGCCCTGTGTGGCCTGGATGAGAGCAAGGCCAAACTGTCGTCTGAAGTGCTGACCGTCCTCATCAAGCAGTACTGCCGGGAGAGCGGTGTGCGCAACCTGCAGAAGCAGGTGGAGAAGGTGAGCCTGGAGGACGTGATGTGACTGAAGTGAGCCAAACACAGGACAGATGCTTTCTGGTCCCACTCACGTGAGGTTCCCAGGAGTTTGACTCGCAGATACAAAAGCAGAATGGTGGGTGCCAGTGGCTGGGGCGTTAGTGTGTTTAATGGGGACCAAGTTTTAGTTTGGGAAGCTGAGGAAGTTCTAGTGATGGACGGTGGGAATGGATGCACAAAAATATGAGCTGGCATTTAGAAATGGTTATGGTACATTTTTTTGTGCCATATGCATTGTACACAATTTAAAAATGAAAGCAGAGAGCAGACAGAGGTGGTGAGTGGGAGGAACAGGGGCCTGCGGCCAGGCTGCCCGTGACCCTCTGCACCCACTGCAGGTCTTAAGGAAGTCCGCCTACAAGATTGTCAGTGGTGAGGCCGAGTCGGTGGAGGTGACACCTGAGAACCTGCAGGACTTTGTGGGGAAGCCGGTGTTCACTGTGGAGCGCATGTATGACGTGACGCCGCCCGGCGTGGTCATGGGGCTGGCCTGGACCGCCATGGGTGAGTGCTACAAGTCCCCTCATTCGCTCTCTGGGAGGAGTTTGAACCTGAGCCTTCAGCTCGTTGCTCTGAACACCCCTCTGGCCCACTGGTGGTGTAATGAGGCCAAGGGAATTGGGGCTGTTGGGCAGGTGGGACCACAAGGTGGCAGGTGTGCCCCACGAGCTTTATTTAGGTGATGCTTTGACAGCTTTGTGTGTGGGAGAGTCCCTCACAGCATGAGACTCTAGGACGCCACCCAGCAGGGGAAGGGGTCGCGGGGAACTTCCGTGTCCAGGTGACGTTGCTCATCCTTGGGGTTCAGGGTCTCTTACAGCCCAGAGGTGGTTGTCAGTGGCTGGCAGGGATTGGGTGCAGCTTTATGGGGTTTGCAAAGGAAGTGGGCTCTGGATGCCAAAACGTTTGTTATTTGGGCTGTATTTGAAGACTTTGTGTCTGGCACTGGCAGGGCTTGTGGAGGTAGGGCCCAGTGCAGCAGCCATCTTTGGTTCCCTTAGGTAGGCATGGGCACTGATGTCAAGAATGAGTAGGTGCTAGGCCGAGGTCGAGTGAGGAAGTTTGCAGAGCCCCAGCCAGATAGCTCAGTTGGATAGAGCATCATCTCGATACCCCAAGGTTGTGGGTTCAGTCCTGGGTCAGGGCACATACAAGAATCTATCAATGAATACAGCAAATTGATGTTCCTTTCTCTCTCTAAAATCATTGTTATTTTTAAGGAAGAGTTGCAGACAGAACAGAGTGCTCCCTGAGGTGGCCCACCATTTGAAGGGAGTGGCTACCCTGGGAATCTGAACTGTCCCAGGGCTCATGGGCCCCACACACTGGTGTCTTCCAGGAGGCTCCACACTGTTTGTTGAGACATCCCCAAGGCGGCCCCGGGAGGACAGCAAGGCGGACAAGGACGGGAGCCTGGAGGTGACAGGCCAGCTGGGGGAGGTGATGAAGGAGAGTGCCCGCATCGCCTACACCTTCGCAAGGGCCTTCCTGATGCAGCATGACCCCACCAATGAGTACCTGGTGACTTCACACATCCACCTGCACGTGCCTGAGGTGAGTTGCTCCCCCACCAACTGCCCGCCTGGTCCTCCCGTGGGCAGCCTTGCCTCAGACCTGCCCACCACCCACCTGCCTCTCCCCTCCAGGGTGCCACCCCCAAAGACGGCCCCAGTGCCGGCTGCACCATCGTCACAGCCCTGCTCTCTCTGGCCATGGACAGGCCGGTGCGGCAGAACCTGGCCATGACTGGCGAGGTCTCCCTCACAGGCAAGATCCTGCCAGTGGGCGGCATCAAGGAGAAGACCATTGCGGTGAGCGCTGCACCCCCCTGCGCCACAACGGCTCCCTGCATACAGTCCCATACTGCTCTGCAGTCATGAGACACCCAAGTCACCGTTCACACCACAAGGGGGATGGGTGATGGGTGATTTCAGAGCAGGCATGGGATTTGGACCCACTGCTAGGTTGCCTGAGCCCATGTTGAACTGTTCCAGACGCCCCCATCCACAGTGGTTCTCAGCCTTTTCAAGACTTGGGAGAACGTCCTAGGTCTCCCCAGAAAGAGCCCCCATCTGAGCTCCTCAGTGGGACTCTGGGGGCTCCTTGAGGGTAGGAGAGGGGTCTCCACTGTCCTCATTGCCACTTGGCCTGGCACCAAGAATGGTAGGTACAGAAAGTGCTGGAGGCTGGCCTCACAGGGCGCTGTGTAGGTCGGAGGGCTCTGGTGGAAGTGGAAGACGTGTCTGCCCCGGGCAGGCCCTTCATCCCTGACATGTCCAGCTCCCAGGGGGGCCCCACTGTCTCCTGAGCCTCACTGCCCTCTGACTACCATACAGGTTGGGCAGAATGGTCTGTAAGACTGGAAAAATTTTTAATGTTAACTACAGTTTCAAAATGTCTTTCTCTAGCTCTCGTTGCATTTTTTAGGTGCCACACCTGTAAAGGTAAAGCAATAGGTGCTGTGATTGATTCAGACAAGGGGATTGGGCAGAGCCATGCATGGTAGGCTCTCAGAGAACTAAACTCTGCAGAAGTACCCAGTGCTGCTGCCTTGGGCCTCAGCACCCTCACCTGTGATACACAGCCTGGCTCAGGGCAGCTGTGAACAGGGTCCTCACCAAGCCCGCTCCCTCCTGGAGCACGGTGGGCTCCTGCAGCCTTCCTGAACTAACCTGTGGTCCCCTGTATCCCAGGCTAAGCGCGCCGGAGTCACATGCATCATCCTGCCAGCAGAAAACAAGAAGGACTTCTACGACCTGGCTGCTTTCATCACCGAAGGCCTGGAGGTCCACTTTGTGGACCACTACCGCCAGATCTTTGACATTGCCTTCCCAGAGGAGCAGGCGGAGGCGCTAGCTGTGGAGCGGTGATTGTGGCCCAGGCACCGCAGGTGCTTATAGGCCACGCTGAGCTGGAACTGCACTGCAGGGAAGGGCTCTGGGCTGTCAAGCCATCAGGAGGGTCAGCAAGTGGCCCAGAACCCAAGGACCTCGGTTAGGATTTAATCATGGAATCTGATGCTTACAAAACTATTTAATAACGATTAAAGACTATTTCCAGTATTGCTGGCCTATTCCTTCCTTGTGTGCCTGTTGTGCCCCTGCCCCAACACCACTGTTCAAGAGGAAGCCCTCAACAATGAACCAGATGCAATGCCACCACAGGAGCCCCGAATTTCTGAACAGGTTTTATTACACAGAGGGGATAGGGCTCAGTCCTTCTTGGCTGCTGCCTTCCTCATGGCTGCAAGGACATTGCTCAGCTCCTCTCTCTTCCTCTTGGCACGGATGTGTGTCCCCACCTGCCAAGTACAGAGGTCCATCAGCCTGGGTCCTCTTTCACTCTTGCCCCTACCACCCTCCTCTCACCCTCTTGGCAGAGACCTATGGTCCCACCCGCCACCAATGGCCCACTTACCCTTTTCTTGATAAATTTCAGGGCTCTCTTGTCCTTAGAGACTTTGAGCAGCTCCATGGCCCGCCGTTCATAGGGGGCAAAGCCACACACCTCTCGGATCATGTCCCGCACGAACTTGGTGTGCTTGGTGAGGCGCTGGGGAGCACAGGAGGCCATCAGCATGAACTCCAAGGCCAGACTGCTTAGGGTCACGTCTGGGCCTCCAGCTGGAGCATTCTGACCGGGTCTGGTACAATGGAAGCAGGAATCCTCCCTATCCCCGCAATGTCATCAACAGGCCACACATGCCTGGCTCTTTGCACAGGCTGTTCCCTGGGCCCAGAATTCTGTCCCATCGGACACAGGCTACCACCACGGAGCTGAGGCTACTTAATGAATATGCTGTAACAAATCATAAATTGTTAACTGAACAAGTCATTGTGGGTAGTTATGATCCAGGCCTTTAACTTCTTGGTGAAAGGTTTTTGAGTAAATCCTGTCCACTTATTTTGTACATCCAGGTTAACACATCTTTGAAATGCCAGAGTAATACCCTTGGAAAGTGTGACCACCCTCGAGACCACACAATCTTAGCTGGCCTGTAATCCAATCCCAGCCTCGCTTTCTCCCTTAAATTCCCTCAATTTCAAATGCATAAATGAAATTGCGAAACGTCCATTTCCGGAAAAATTTTTAGATCTTGCTTCCAGGCAATTGTCAGGTTGGTTCAAATATGAAAATCCTCTATAGGTTTGGACATGTTACACAGAAGAACCCATAAATCCTGACCACCCTGAAACTCGGAGAATCAGCTTTTCTCTTTACATTCCAACCTCGACCTCCCTCCTATTCTATTGGACAAACATCTACTCGTGACCCAAACTCGCTCCACCTGCCCCAGCAGCCAGGTGCACGGCCCAGAAGGCCGTTCGCCGCTCAGACGTATTCCACTTCACTCAGTGCTCTGACGTGCCCGACACCCTTCTCCCTTCCACTCAGCCCAGCGCAGGACTCCCCACTGCCCTCAGTAGCCTGGCGCCTTTGCCCTGGCCGCGCCCTCCGCCCGAAGGCCTTTCCCACCTCCCTCCTAGAATCCACCAAGCTCGTGCCCCCGGAACTCACCCCGCGGCGGCGGCTGTGCCTCGGCTTGCTCACGTTCTTTGTCACTTTGTGGCCTTTGTTGAGGCCCACGGCCATGGGGTAGCGGAGGGCCATGGCTGCGGACAGGGATGGGGAGAGGTGGTAGAGATGAGCCCCAGCTCGGCCACTGCCGCCCGGTACCCCGCGTCCCGGACCCCTCGCGGTCGTTCGCTGCACCCAGTCATCTCCCCGAGCAGCACCAGGGTCCCCAAGGTCTGGATGGCGGCAGATCCAGCACGCTCCGGGACCAACTAACCTGCTATTCCTTAATGGCTACCGCAGTGGAAGGGCTGATGCCGCGCGGAACTCTGGGGATATCTATTCCTCGTGGGTTGTGCGGGCCAGAGAGGCATTAACGCTGCGAGCACCCCCTGGCGGCTGGAGGATTCTCTGCCGTCTCCCTGAGCAGGCACGTTTACCTCCGCGGACCCTAGGGAGGAGTCGGAGTTGTGGGCGTCCCTGTGGCTGAGGTGCCTCTCTATTCCAGAAGGTAGAAAGTTCCCGCTAGCTGACGCCAAGGACTGCACTTTCCAATACACACATTTCTCCATTCGTAGAGTGAAGGCAATAATAGGACATATTCCAAACTGTTTAAACAAGATACAATGGTATCTGGCACAAAACTTCTGTAAGTGGACGTATTTTTAAATTATTTTGTAAACGAAGGTACTTTATATGAGGCCAAGTTCTGAGCTAGGGCTGAGGAAGGTGATGTGGTATATCGCTTGCTAGAGGCATCTGATATAATTTGATTTAATTTTAGGTGGTGCAGAGATGAAACACGATGGGTACAAAAAATTTTTTTCCTGTTTTTTATCTTTAAATCCTAATGTTAAGTGTGTAGTGCCTGGTGCATGTTATCATTATTCGTGTACAAATCATGTAATTTGTGCAGCAAATAGAACCTTTGGTCCACACTCAGTACCCTTCCTTCTGACTTCCTGGGTGAGCCCATCTCTCCCAGCCTGTTTCTCCACCTGTGAAACGGCGTTTAGGGGTCTAGTACACACATCCCCTCTTCCCTGCCCACTGCCAGCAAATTGGAAGGACCAAGAAATTTCAACAATAGATGTGCAAAGAAAAAAAGGGACTTTTATTATGAAAAGGGAGGCCGGGGCCAGCGCAGAACACATTCTTTTCCTCCTCCTTCTCCTTCTCGGACCCCACCATTGGGTAGATAGCTTTGCGGTTCTCCCTTGCTTGGGGCAAAGGTGGGTGATGCTTCCAGACTGAGTGAATGGAAAGAACAAATCAGGTGTCTCGGGTGGGAGACAGAGAAGGTTCCAAGGGTGGCTCAGTGGTTGGTGCGACCTATTTGAAGTGACCAGGGCCCTAGGGGCTGACTTGCCATATCACCTCTCTGAGCCTTAGTTTCCCCACCTGTGAAATGTAAGCAGTGATCACATCAACAATGACGACCAAGAAGACTGAGGTAGTGCCTTCCAAGTCTCTGACAAGGTACTGGCACGCAGCAGCTGCTCTCATACTTGGAGATTTCATTGTTTCCAGGTGCAAGTAGTTTTTCTCGGTTTTCCTTTTATGTCTTGGCAACACTATTCCAGAGGTGTGTCTTTGTCCTGCCTTCAGGATGGCTGGATGAAGGGTCCCCCTCTAAGATGAACAGGCTCTACCTCTGGCTCAGGCAGCAGCAGTGACAGTGACATTGAGCTCCTGGCGGATGAACCAGGCTCTTGGACGAGGCAGCCAGGCTCGAAGCAGGCAGAGCACGTGGAAGCGCCAGGGGTAGAAGACGCGGGAGGTGCGCGTGGCACTGCCACGAATCACAGCTAGGGCTGCCTTGGGTCCCAGGGCTGACTTGGCTCTTGTGACACCCCTGTGCACAGGAGGACGTGGTGGGGGCTGCAGCTGGGTGGCTCCCCACAACCCCCAGTTCATGTCTCTGGCCTTACCTGACTCCCTCAGCAGCTGAGGCGTGATCCTGGAGGCCGAGGACACACATAGTGATGGCCACGTTCACATCCTGCACTTCCAGCTCCCGCCGTAGGGAGCCGAAGAAACTGTCCAGTGCGAACTTGGCCGCTGAATAGGGGCTGGAGAAGGACCTGGGCACGCGGCCTGAGGGTGCAAGAAGGCAGCAGCTGAGCTGCCTCACGCTGCTTCCCTATCTCGAGGAAACCCTGCCTCATCCAGGCTCTCCTGCATCAGGCCTGTGGCCTCCCCACTGCCCGCCCCACGTGCACGCACCGAGAAACGAGGACACCACCACCAGGGAGCCCTTGCTGTCCGTCAGACTGGGCAGCGCCAACGAAGTCAGTTGCACGTAACTCAGGAAGTTCACCTGGAGGCGGTGACTGCGAGTGACGCAGCAGAGAACCGAAGCCAAGAAGGTGGGGGCAAGGGGCGAAACCTATAAACCTGGGGGCGGGTCTGGTTAGGGATGGGCAGGCCCGAGGACTGGGGCAGGGTCTTGGAAGGAGGAGCTGAAGCTCAAGCCTAGGGGAGGAGCCAAGGCCTAAAGAGGGTGGAGCCTAGAGCCAGGGGGCGGGGCCTGGGGCAGAGGACCAAAGAGGAATGGGGGAAGAGGGTGGATCCTGGGGAGGGAGGGAGCGCGGGCTGGTGTGAGGAGCCAAAGTTGAAAGGGGGTGAAACCTAGCAATCTTAGAAGTGGGACCTGGGGATAGGAGGGGCAGAGCACCTGCATGAGCCAGGCTGTCCCCTGAGCACTGAGGGCCCGTGTGCCTGCTGGGGCAGCACCGAGGTGGTTCAGTACGAGGTAGTCCAGCCCGCCTGTCCAGGAGAGGCCCATCAGCTAAGGGGCAGTCCTTGAGGCTCCGTCCCTTGAACCCCTACCTAGCCCTAATCCTCAAACTGGCAAACTCTACCCAGAGCATTGACTCAACGAGCTTCACCCTAGACAGAGCCTCCCACCCCCCCCCACCCCCAGGTTAAAGATACCCCTGCCCCCCACTCCCTGGATCCTGCCAGGCTTGCCCCTAATCCGTAGGGCCCCCTTGGATGCAATGAGGTTTTACCCCTAGTTACGCCCCGGAACTTTGTAAGTCTCCTCCCACAAACACCCGTTACTACCACACCCCCACACCCTTAAGGCCTAGTCCAAGGTCCCACACTCCAGGCCCCGCCCCTCACCCAGCTTGTCCAGCGCAAACTGCACCACGCGCTCTGGCACCTCACGGGAGGCCATGTCCGCAGCGATGTAGAAGACCTTGGGAGCGCCCAGCTTCCGGCAGTTCCCTACCACCTGGGAGGCCAGAGCTGCCCGTGGGCCCCTCCACCCCAGTTCGCTCCCTCCCCTACTCTGAGCCTCGTGTTCTTTTCCCAAAGCTTTACCTCTGGGGTTGCAAGCTGGCGGCCCGTGGACCAGAATAAGGGATGTTTTGTTTGCTCAATTATCAACATTTAAAATTTAGGATTTCAAATAAATCTCAAGGTTTCTGGCCCCTCTTGAAATTCTGGAAGGTTTGTCTCTAAGAGCTGTACATTTCCTTGGAACATTCTCTTGCTAAGAAATGTCCTCCCACCATCCTGTTGAGTTTGAGAACCCTGGCTATCATCACAGGCTTTGGACACTACCAATACTGCCGTTTCTTGGGGCACACTCCCTGCTTTACACTCACTGTCTTACTGCATTTACCCAATACCATAACCCACAAGAAGGCACTTTTATCATCTCCATTCTGCAAAGGAGGAAGTTAGGGCTCAGGGAGGTTAAGCGACTTGCCCAAGTTCACACAGGAAGCCTGGATCTTTGTCAGGATTCAAACCCAGGCCCCATTTTCCACCCCACTCCTGACCCCAACATTAAACTTGAAATACGTGTCTCACCTTCTGCAGAAGGGCCTCAGTGTGGGCAGTGAGCACCAGGTGGGAGCCCAGACGGGCATAGTGATATGCCAGCTCCTCCCCAACGCCTGCACTGGCCCCTGTCAGCAGCACACGGGCTCCCTGGAGGCTAGCTGGCAGTGAGCAGGGGTGGTCAGCCTAGGGGGTGCACAGGACAGCTGACCTGATTCCTCCCTGTCCCACCCCAGGCACTCACCTGGGTTGAAGTTGTCAGCCCAATAATAGGCGAAGAATAGGGCTCCCAGCCCTGTGAGGAGCAGCACCTTCATGGCCTTTTCTGGCTCTGCAGGGAGAGGGAGGGTGGCCGGCACAGGCCTGGCCCACAGCCACACCTGTTTCCCCAACTTCCCTTTGTTCAAAGAAGATCCTCCTGGCCCCTGGACCTGCCCCTCTTCTCCATCTCCACAGCCACCACCTGGTCCAGGTCACCATACAGGTCTCCTGAACCACTGTACCAATCTTTGGGGCTTCCCCCCACCCCTCAGAAAACAGCAGAATCACATCTTACCTCCCCTTGCTGAAAATCCTCCTTGATTTATCTAGGAAAAACCACACTCCTTGATGGCCAAAATGCCCCTCTTGCTCACTCTGCAATTTGCCACTCCAGCCTCTGTGCTGTTCCTCAGAACCAGCCAGCTACCCTCTGCCTCAGGGCCTTTACACTGGCTGTTCCCTCTGCCCAAAATGCTCTCTGCAAATAAATCCAATGGTTTACTTTCACTTTCCAGTCTCAGCACAAAAATTACTTCCTTCCAGGGTACTTCCCTGACCTCTTTTTCTTTTTTTTAAAAAAAGATTTATTTATTTATTTTTAGAGAGAGGAAGGGAGGGAGAAAGAGAGAGAAATACCAATGTGTGGTTGCCTCTCGTGTGCCCTGCACTGGGGACCTGGCCCGCGACCCAGGCCTGTGCCCTGACTGGGAATCCAACCGGCGACCCTTTGTTCACAGCCCGACCCTCAATCCACTGAACCACACCAGCCAGGGCCCTCTTTTTCTAAAGCACTTCCCTTCCTAGTCCCTCCTCCTCCCTTACCTCTAGAACTTTTACCTCCATCTCCTCAAATCACCTTGATGATTTGTTTCACCTTGATGATTTCTTTCATGTTCACTGTCCCTCTCTTCCCCTAGACTGTCAAGAAGAAAACAAAAGCCTACTTCTGTTTTTTTTCACCGTTAGGTCTTCAGCTCACCAAACTGTGCCAGGTGCTCAAAAGATACTAGATTGACACTTGAATGTGGGAGGCAAGAGCTGGGGGAGCTCAGAAAGACCACTGTGTCTGGAGATACTCAGGAGTAATCGGAAAGTCCCATGTCATGAGGGTTAAAATATGACGTCAGCTGTGCGAGCGATTTACTTGTTCTAGAGACAAGGCAAAAGAGAGAAACAGGCTGCATGCTTAACGTTTGGGGAGTCATGGGTCTTCCTTGAAAAGGACACAGGCCTATCACATCTTGGGGATTCTATCCCCTGGACTCAGTGAGACAGAGGAGAGGGGAACTTCTAGGACCCAGGAGGCTGAGAGGTGGTGCAACTGGAGAGTCCCCATACCACCAATTTCTACATCCAACCCTATGCCCTTTGCTCCCAGGCATCTTCCCTGGTAAGATCCCCCATCTTCCCACTCCGTTCCTCCCACCCTGTCCTATCCGTGCAGCCAAAGGGATCTCTGTAGAAAGTCTGGCGTGCCCCTTTCCTGCTCTAAACCCTCCCAAGGGCTCGCCACTGCCCCAGGTGGAGACCAAACTCCTCACAGCCCACAAGGCCCACAGGGTCTGGCCTCTGCCCACGTGTCCATTCCCATCTTCCCCAAGTCCTGTCTATGAATCAGTTATGAGAAAAGTTAACTTCTCGAACTTTCCCCGGTCACACCAGCCATTCTCTTAGCAGGGAACGCACTCCCACCTCTTTCATTTGCAGAGAAAATCCGTGAAGCCCCTCAGCTCAACCCTCTTCCCATCCCTGGCCTTGAACACAGCAGCCCCAAAAGGGAAGGCTGAGTTGGATGGAGGGATAGATGGGTGAGTGGGTGGGAGGAAGAATGGATGGATGGAAGGATGGATGGATGGATGAAGCAGCCAGGCTGAGGCGGGTAAGAAATAGGGAAACCATATCCTCGCGGAATCCACTTGTCCTTTGATATCGCCGGGCCTCAGTTTTACATCTGGACAAAGGGAGAGTGTGACCCGCTCTGCGTTCCCCAACTGCTCACTCACCCACTCGGGCCTCAGTTTCTCCCGCTGTCCACCGGCGCTAGGGTCCCTGACTGGGAGCGACGGGGCACAACAATCGGGCCTACCTTCACCGCCGCGGGGGGCTGCGACCCCGACCGCGCCCCCTTCCGTAGGCCCTGAGTCACGTGACTAAGAGCCAGCCTCCCCGCCGGGAGGGCTCAGGTCGCGGGGTCCGGGCGCCCGGGCGTTGCCGGGCAACGGCTTCCCTCCTGGCTCCACTCCCAATCGAAGCCCTGGCTCCGCTCCCTGAAGGAAAAACCACCCACACTCCGAACCCGATCACGTGACTTAGACCCCCCCACCAACAAGTCCGCCCTCGCGTTGCCGTGACAACTGACATCAAGGAACACTGTTCTTTGGCCCGTGCCCTGAGTTCCCCGTGCGGGCTCAGGTGGATCTCTCCGGCTCCGACTTCCTGGGTCAACCCCAGGCCTCACTCTATAGACACTCGACTCCTTTTCATTCACGCCACCAAGGCCGGACTACATTTCCCTGGAGCCTTGGCGGCTAGGCGAGCCTTCCCCCGCCTCACTGGGCGGTGCCGATTACATTTCTCAGACAGCATTGCGGCGGCCCGGCCCAAAAAGACTAATTAGGCTTCCCAATGTCCTTTTGGGGTAGGACCGCATCTCCAGCGTTTCTAAGCGGCGACGAGACTCAGACTCCCGGAGGCCTTTGCGGCTGACGAGGGAAAGTACGCTTCCCAGGGGCCTCTGCTGCCCCGCGACCGGAAGCGGCGGGCGAGCCGAGTGTCCTTGCGCGCGGAGTAGAGCGACTATGGGGTCCCGAGTGTGGTCGCTGATGAGGTACGTGTGGCCGGCGGTCGTGCCCCGAGCCCCCAAGAAAGTCTCCTCCTGAGGACACCCCTTTTTAGTTTGCTCACGACCTGCTCTTCGTTTCCCGTAGTGTCAGGTGTCCTATGGCCCACACGGGGAAACTGAGTTTCAAGCGGAGAGATGATTCCCGAGGTCGCGCGAGCTTTTTGTCTTCCGACAACCGGAATACGAGATCTCTCCGAGCCTCAGTTGCCTTCTCTGTAAAGTGGGAGTGCTGCAGGCCATTTATTGGGGTTGGTGAATGCGCGCCCAGAGAAGCGTAGGACATTCAGGAAGCGACCAGTCACAGTTAGAAAACCCTCGCGGTTTGCTTGCGGAGGGTCCCTCCCCAACTCTTCACTGTTCCCTGCTTTCTGAGGAATCACACAAGTGGCCCACTGTCATTGCGCGGGCTTCGGTTCCCCAGTACTCAGTTCCGCGGAGTACTCCAGCTTTGCATACTGTAAATGGAGTGCTGTGCCTAGTAGCGGTCAGGCATGCCTTTGGGCTAGCAAAGTGCTCTTTCATTCCCCTATTACCTGCCTAGCTTCTGGAGTCAGTGAGTTGTGGGGCTTCTTGGGGGCGGGGTCTAACTCCTCCCATGAGCCTAGGGCCCTGAGGGTGGCCAGCAGTGTCTCCTGAGCTGCTGTCATTCCCTTCCCTGAATACAGGTTTCTCATCAAGGGGAGTGTGGCTGGGGGAGTTGTCTACCTGGTGTATGACCAGGAGCTTCTGGGACCCGGCGACAAGAGCCAGGCGGCCCTTCAGAAGGCGGAGGAGGTGGTCCCCCCTGCCATGTACCAGTTCAGCCAGTACGTGTGTGAGCAGACGGGCCTGAAGTTACCCCAGGTACCCACCTCCTGCTGGGAGTGAGGTTGAGGCTTGGTGGGAGTCAGCTTTGGGGTGGCCTTCAGTCCCTGGTTCCTCCAGCCCTGCTTGGTGTCCTCCACACTGGGGCGTGTGCTGCTGTCTCTTCCTCCGGAGGGGGTTGGGGCTGCCAGGCCATTCCCTTTTCACCAGCCCCTTCTTCCCTGTCTTTTCCCAGCTCCCAGCCCCTCCAAAGTTTAACTTTCACATCCGCGAGTCCTGGAATTCAGGTAGGCCCTGGTCCCTCAGCTTGGGGGGTGGCGCCAGGTACCCCAGTCTAGCATCCCCAATCCTGCTTCCTGGCCATGCCTTTCCATTGCTCCCCTTGCTGCTGTGTGTGCCTCTCCCGCATCTAAAAGAGAAGGGGTGGTGGTTCCAGGGAAGTGGGAGCAAGATGGACCCTCTTTTTGAGAGTTTGAGCCACATCTGAATACACAGAGTCAGGTGGCCTCAGACAAAGTGAGGTCCTGCACCTCCTCTGCCTCAGTTTCCCTGTGTGGAATTGACAGAGCTGGAAGTGGCACCTCTCAAAGCATGGCTGAGTTGGGTGTCCCTGGGAGCTGGACTAAACCCCTTAGCTGTAGGTAGGAGTCTCACCAGGTACTGGCCTGCCCTTCCTCCCCCCCCCCCCCCCCACAGGCATTATTACCGTGATGTCGGCCTTGTCGGTGGCCCCTTCCAAGGCCCGCGAATACACCAAGGAGGGCTGGGAATACCTGAAGGAGCGAATCAAGTAGCCTGTCAGAGGAGGTTGCCTTCCCTGTTCAGGAACATGCCCCTGGACCTCAAGCCTCCAGAGCAGGACCCCACTCCAAGGGCAGCTCCTGGCCTTACTGGCCCAATAAAGGACTTTGGAAGTGTCCCCCAACCTGTGTGCTGGCCCCAGGGACATGGGATGGCCCAGCTGGCTCTCAGAGCATGTGGGCCTGGGCTTCTGCCTCCTGGGGGCTCCTTGGGGCCTGATCTCGGTTCACACTTTCTCTGTCTGGTTCCTACGCGCCAGCACCCTCCCTCGATATGGGAAGTGGGAGTGGACAGGTGGCAGTGCTCAGGGTCCCGGGAAAGGGTTGAGAAAGTGCTGAAGGCCAGCCTGGGCTGGGGGTTCTGGGTCTTGGAGGGCTGAGCCCAGGGTAGGACAGTCTGGGAAGCCAGGACTTGGTAGAATGGGAAAAATTTCTCTCCCCTGTGCTGTCTACACACCCAACCTTACCTGGTCCCCATTCTCATTCCATCTGCTCCTCACAATCTCGTGTTCCTGAGGAGCACAATCCTGGAGGTTGTTGCCATGTGGGGGTCTGTGCAGCCTGCAAGGACCATGTGCTCCCGACTTCATCTTCCAGAGGTTCTCTGGTCCCTTCAGAAGCCTTCCCTGACACCCCTATCCCATGCTGGATCAGCTGCCTAGTGACCTGAATGTGTGTGCTGCCCTTTTGGGCTGGAGCTCTGGGAGGGTGGGCTGACTCTAGATGCTCCAAGGACCCCATTGTTGAGGGCATCCCACTCTGGTGGCGCTAGAAGGAAACCTGTGCCCGTCAGGGTGGGAGGTGGGTGTAGGTCGGAGCCAGAGGCTGGCCCAGGAGGCTGCTCTGGGAGCAAGGAGCAGACCCCACCATGGTGCTCCGGGCCAGCATGGAATCCCTCTGTTCCCAAGAGTTCTGGGCTGTATTTCCCTCAGTTTAGGAAATAGAACTCACTCAGGCCCATGATCCTGGATGGGACGGCAGGTGTTAACATGTGAGGAAGGTGGAGACCAGAGGCCAGGGCATTTCCCAGAGAGGCTGGTGAGTGTCTGTCCAGTCTGTCCACTTGGTGACAAATAGGGAAGGGTGTAGCTGAGAATGGATGGCCTGGCTTAGGGTGTTTGGGGAGGGAGAGCCGATGTGACCTGTGTCACCATGATCTCCAGGATGGGCAAAGCCAAGGAGTGTCCTTGATTGTTGGTGCTGCCCAAGAAGGAACTGGTGCTGGTGCCCACCATCTTGGAGGTCAGGACTGTGGCCCAGGTTTACGATCCTCCCAGCCTGGCTCCCCATCCACCGAGCCTTTCCAGCAGCCCCATGTGTCCATTTTACAGATGGAGACACTTGTATGGATAGGTTCAAAGCCCACAGTCCACCAGGAGCCCAGATAGTTAACCTTAAACCCTACCTGGGACACAGGGTTTTCATTTGCCTCACTCTGATGGACCCAGTATCAGGCCTTTGCACACAGGAGGGATTTGTACTCTGGCTAGGCCATGTGCTCCACTAGGCTCCCTTAGTGCTCACAACCCTCCTGTTGTTATCACAGTTTTATGGAATGGGGGGTATACCTGCTAAGGCCACCCCACCAGGCTTTTGAACAATGTTCAAGGCCCATTATTGGTCTAGCAAAACCTACAGGAAAGTTTGTAAGTCTGTGAGGGGCTGCCCTGGGGACATGTTTAGCTCTCTGGCCCCGTCACTTCCAGGAGGCTGCGTCCTGCAGTTCCCTGAACTATGGGTGGGGGTGGGGGTGGGGGTGGGGGGGTGGGGTGTGTGTGTGTGTGTGTGTGTGTGTGTGTGTGTGTGTGTGTTGGGGCATGGGGGGATCCCTTTCAACTGAACTCCAGCCCTGGTCTCTATGGTCCCTGTGATTGAGTTACTGCCCACAGGCTGGGCCTGGGGTCAGCCTCTATCCCCGACGCCCCATGGCTGGTCTCCAAACCGTCCATGTGGACCCAGCCATCAGCCCAGACACCAGAATGCCACTCTTGCCCATCCATTGCCTCACCTGGTCATGCCCCCAATTTGTCTCCATCCACCTGGATCATCGCCAGTGCCAAGACTACCTCCCTGGTCTCCCCGCCTCCGGGCTGGCCCCCATCAATCTGTTTTCCAAAGTCCAAGTCAGTTCATGTCACTACCCTGCTCAGAAACCGCCTGTGGCTTCCCACTGCTTTCTCTGTGAGCCCAGGTTCCTCAGAGGGGCCCTCTTACTCCCCTGGGTCCCTCCTATAACATTCCGGTTGGCCATCAGTTCCTGAAACAGCTGGTTTTCACCACCAGCTTTTGCCTACAACTCATGGGCCCCCTCACCAGGCCCCGACTCTTCCTCCTGGCTGACTCCTGCCCACAGCAGATGCTGACCCTTTTCCATACCCCCAGAATGAGTTTAAGTGTCCATTCTGGGCCTCCTTTGCCCCTGCCCAGGAGTTTCTCAGGGCAGGGTTTCCTCACTTCAGCATCACTGACATTCAAGACCAGGTAAATCTTTGGCGGGGGGCATCCTGGCCACTATAGACATTGAGCAGCATCCCTGCCTTTACCCCCAAATGCCAGTAGCACCGCTGTATTCCCCAGACATGACAACCACATGTCTCCAGGTGCTGCCAGATGTCCCTCTGGGGACCAAATCACCCTAGTTGAGAGTGAGACTGCCTTGGGTGTTAGTATGAGTACCCTGTGGCTGCTGCAACAAATGACCACAAATTTAGTGCTAAATGAAATATAAACTGCTTCTCACAGTTCTGGAGGTCAGGAGCCCAACACAGGTCTCATTGGGCTGAAATCCAGGTGGCAGCAGGCCTGGCTCCTTGCAGAGGATCCAGGGCAGAATCTGTTACCAGCCTTTTCCAGCTTCTAGAGGCTGCTGCATCCCTTGGCCCACAGACCCTTTCTCCATTGTCATAGCCAGCAATGTCGTCTCCTCTCTCTCACATCTCTGCTCCCCTGGTGCCTTCATTCTTTTATAAGGACCCTTGTGATCTTGCTGGTTAACTCCGGATCATCTCCCATATCAAGGTTCTTAATTTTAAAAATCTTACCTGCCAATTCTCATTTATCCCTAGAGCTCATGTTGCTTGTCCCTTCCCTGGAGGGACTGTACTAAGATGGCAAGGGATGGGGATCTTTGTTGAACAAAAGTTGACTGAGAGCCCCAAGGATCCCCAAAGACACTGGTCATTGTGTGCTGGGCTCAGGATCTGTTTCCTGCTGAGAGCACAGACCAGCCAATGCTGTGCTCCCAAAGCTGTGCTGGGCAAAAGCTGGGCTGTTTTGTGCTGTTTGCCTCAGGGCCACATGGTCTACAGCGGCCTAGGCTCTTCCCGTAGGTGGCTCAGGGCCAAGCCACCTTTCGTTAACTCTGAAAGTACAAGGCGATACATCCAAATAGACAAGCTATGTGTTTCCCCATTGGGGCCCTGTTAACAGTTACGGTCAACAGGAATCCTGGTGGACTAGAACTTGGAAACTGTCCTGTGGCTTTCAGAGAATTAGTATATTTGTAGCTGGGGCGGGGTGGGGAGCAGCTAGGGAGGCACAATCCCACAATGGCACCTTTTTGAAGCAACTCAGTAGCCTCACTTTACAGGTGAGCAAATGAAGGGTCATAGAACAGGAGGAACTTGCCCCACAGCAGGAGGTAAAAGCAGGACTTGGCCCCCAGACTCCTGAGTGGGATTCTTGATCCAGTTTCACAGGTCAGGTGGTTGGTCTCTGGCAGGAGGAACAGAGCAGGTCCTGGTCAGCTGAGGGGAGGGGAGATGTCTCCCTGAGACTGAGGCTGGGAGAGAACTGCCAGGATGCAAAGCCCTGGACTCCAGGCAACGCTTGGTCACTGAACACACCTGCTTCACACTGTCCCACATGTGTCCCCGCAACCCCACTTTCAGAGCCAGACCCCTGCCCCTCCCCCAGCAGAGTTCATCACTTCCTGCTGTTCAACAGCTTGGCTTTGCTCAGCTCCCCACTTTGCCATTAACTTGTCCTCAAACCACGCATGTGAGGTCCCTGGAGGAGATAGATCCATAGAAATGAAAATAGACGGTGGGTGTCAGGGACTGGGGTGTTAGTGATTAATAATTTCTAGTTTGGGAAAGTAAATTCTGGAGATCAGTGATGATGGTTGTACAGCAGTGTGAATTAAATGCCACTGAACTGTGCAGGTAAAAATGGTTAACATAGTAAATTTCATGTTAAGGTATGTTTTACCATACACAAAGTAACAGCCTGTTCAGTAAGGGCTACAAGATAGATGGAAACCCTGGGAGTCCCTTGAAGCTGCCCCTTTCAAGCCCTCCTTCCCTGCAGGAAAAGCTGTGGCTCAGCAATGCTGAGTATAATTTCGTTTTACTCAAAGAGATAGAAATAAAAGAGATGATGCTTTAAATAAAGGGTATGTGAACAGAAACACATTTATTACAAAAAAACAAAAAACATTCACATTGTATCGAGCTACAATATGGCAGCAGATAAAAAAAAATTTATTGTACACGGTTTAAGATAACTTGCTAACAGGACATACTCTGGTTGCCACGTGACGGAACACAGGATTCCAAGCACTTAGTAGCGGCGAGTGAAGCGGGCATCGTTGGGTCGGCTGCCCCGGTTCTGGCCGCCAAATCCACCTTGCATTCCACCCCGTGGGATCACGTGGCCCCGTGAGGCCCCTCCTGGGGTAAAGCTGCCGCGCCTGGAACAAATGCAGATGCTCATGTTCACTAACCCTATTCAGTGGGATCTGCTGGGTGCCACTGAGACAAGCTCTTCGGGACTCTCTTCCTTCTTGAGTAGCAACACTAGGGGACAGACCCGCACCATTTTAGGGACAGTGTAAGTTGGGAAGACTTGACTGTTGCTAAACCTTCCCCAAGGTAAGCCAATATGCCAAGAGGAGACTGGTACAGAGACTGAGACACAGAACACCTTACCCTGACATCCCTCCCCGGTTCATCATGTGACCTGGCCCAGAGTGACCAGACATGCTTCTCTCACCACCTAGAAAACAGAGAGACTTTTCACTTGTCGCCTCCAAGCATGAGATGTAGTTTAGAGGACAATGACACAGATCAGGCAAACCCAGTCCCTTTCTCATGCCATCCATCAACCCAGAGCTTACAGGTACCCA